ATAGCAGCAAAGGATAAAAATATGCACATGCCATAATTTAATCAACCAAGTCCCCTAAAATGTTATTCCCCTTTAGTTGTTTTCAATTTCTTGTTATTATAAACAGTGTGATAATAAACATTCTTCTTAAAAAAACTTATTCTTTTCTTTTCATTTTTTTAACATTTTATTTATTTTTGAGAGAGAGAGAGAGAGAGAGAGAGAGAGAGAGAGCGAGCACGGGGGGAGGAGCAGAGAGAGAGGGAGACACAATCCAAAGCAGGTTCCAGGCTCTGAGCTGTCAGCACAGAGACCCATGCAGGGCTGAAACCCACGAACTGTGAGATCATGATGCCAGCCAAATTTGAACACTTAACCAACTGAGCCACCCCCAGGCACCCCATGATAATAAACATTCTTGTAGCTACATATTTGCTACAAATATTTTCATAGCATGAATTCTTAGAAGTAGAACATCTGAGTCAATGGATATGCATAATTCAAGGATTTTGATTATGTATTTCTGAATTGCCCCATAAAAATTGAATGGACATACTGTCTTACCAGAAAAGGATAAAGGTACCCATTGTGTGGAAATGATACTTCCTTGAACCCTCACCTACACTGGGTATTATAATTAAGTTTGTGTTTTTCAATTTGATAAGTGAGTAATGATGTTACTGTTTTAGTTTGAAAACAGTGAACATTTGGAGTGCCTGGGTAGCTCAGTCAGTTAAGCCTCTGACTTTGGCTCAGGTCATGATCTCATGGTTTGCGAGTTTGAGCCTGGGGTTGGGCTCTGTGCTGACAGCTCAGAGCCTGGACCCTGCTTCAGATTCTGTGTCTCCCTCTCTCTCTGCCCCTCCCATAGTCATGCGCATGCTCTCTCTCTCTCTCTCTCTCTCTCTCTCTCTCTCTCTCTCCCAAAAATAAATAAACATTAAAAGAAGAAGAAGAAGAAAATATTGAACATTTGTATATATTTTTCTGTTGTTAGTACATAGCGCTTGTCCATTTTTTCTGTGGAGTTTTATCTTTTTGTTACTGATTTATGAGAGTTCTTTATGTAATAAGAATATTAATATCTTTGTTTGAAAAACTTAAGATTTTCTTATTTAAAAATTATGTATCTTGGGGGCACCCAGGTGGCTCATGCGGTTAAGCTAACGGCTCTTGGGATTCTCTCTCTTCTCTCTTTCTGCCCCTCTCCCGCTCATGCTTTCTCTCTTTCTTTCTCAAAACAAAGAAAATAAACTTTAAAAAATTATGTATTTTCATTTTAGAAAGCAATGTTTACAGGGACACCTGGATGACTCAGTCAGTTAAGCGGCCGACTTTGGCTCAAGTCATGATCTCAGTTTGTGAGTTCAAGCCCCATATCAGGCTCTGTGCTGACAGCTCAGAGCCTGGAGCCTGCTTTGGATTCTGTGTCTCCCTCCCTCTCTCTGCCCCTCCCCCATTCACGCTCTGTCCTCTCCCTCTCTCTCTCAAAAATAAACATTAAAAAAATTTTTTTTTGTAAAAGAATGTAATGTTTGCACCCAAAGCGAGGCTCGAACTCACGACCCTGAGATCAAGAGTTGCATGCTCTCCCAACTGAACTGGACAGGTGCCCTTCATTTTAGGAAGGAAGTGGAAACTCCTAAAATTCCACTGTCCAAGAATAACCACTATTAACATGCTTTTCTAAGCAAGGTATACATACATACATATACATTTTTTTTTTTTTTTACAGAAAGGGAATCATCCTTTACATACTTTTCTTTTTGCTTTTTATACTGCATACTATTTAAAAAATTTTTTTAGTTAATGTTTTGGGTTTTTTTTTTTTTTATGTATTTTTGAGACAGAGAGAGACAGAGTGTGAGGGGGGAAAGCCAGAGAGAGAGGGAGACACAGAATCCGAAGCAGGCTCCAGGCTCCAAGCTGACAGCACAGGGCCTGACGTGGGGCTCGAACTCACAAACCGTGAGATCATGACCCGAGCCGAAGTCGATACTTAACTGACTGAGCCACCCAGGCGCCCCTATACTGCATACTATTTTAAAAACTACTTTCTTGGTTAACAGTACTTTGTGTAGTCTTGTCATTACACATTTTCTCTACCATCTTCTGTAATATTTTACAAAAATTTTTGTTAGTGTTTATTTTTGAGAGAGAGAGAGAAGAGAGAAGAGAGACAGACCATGAGCAGGGAAAGGGCAGAGAGAGAGAGAGAGAGAGAGAGAGAGAGAGAGAGAGAGAGAATCCCAAGCAAGCTCCAGGCTCCGAGCTGTCAGCACAGACTAACCAATGGACCAGGTGCCCTGTAATATTTTACATTTTTAGTTTAAAAGCAATATGTTGTCACTGTAAAACATTTAAATATCACAGAAAAAATGTTGAAAGCATAAGTTCCTATTATTCTGCTCTCCAGTGATACCCACCATTAGCAGTTCTGTATATAGTCCCTCCATGTCTTTTTTCTAAGACAATTGTGTCCATATGCTTTTTAAAAAGTATAATCAGGGGCGCCTGGGTGGTGCAGTCGGTTAAACGTCTGACTTCAGCCAGGTCATGATCTCGCGGTCCGTGAGTTCGAGCCCCGCGTCAGGCTCTGGGCTGATGGCTCAGAGCCTGGAGCCTGTTTCCGATTCTGTGTCTCCTTCTCTCTCTGCCCCTCCCCCGTTCATGCTCTGTCTCTCTCTGTCCCCAAAATAAATAAAAAACGTTGATTAAAAAGTATAATCACATTACACATACTGTTTTTAGTTTTCACTTTATCGAGCTTGGACATGTCAATATATGTAAACCAACCTCAGTCATTTTAATGGGGGTGGAATATGGAGTTACCATAGCCAACATCTTGTTGATGGATGTTTGAATTGTTTCTAGTTTTACTTTAATACAAACTGCTGCACTGAACATCCTTCTACATAAATCTTTAAGTGCTTAAGTAAGTGTTGTAAGATGAATTCCTAGCACTGGAATCACTGATACAGAGTACAAACAGTATGAACATTTAAATATTTAACAGAATTTGGGGCACCTGGGTGGCTCAGTGGATTAAGCATCTGACTCTTGAATTTGACTTAGGTCATGATCTTGCTCTTCGGGGGTTTGAGCCTCACGTCAGGCTCTGTGCTGATGGTGCAGAGCCTGCCTGAGATCCTCTCTCTTCCTGTCTCTCTGCCCAAGATACAAAATGAAAAATAAAAGACTTGTCTCTCTCCATAGTAACCACGGCCAATATTTTTGTATAATTCCTTCTAGAAAACAATTCTACATATAGATGGAATAGTGTGAATATTCCCAGCACCACCATATCCAGCTCTGGCCAAGTTTTATGACTTTTCCTTAATTAGTTAAGACATGTCTCCCAAACTCTGGTGACCGTAGACCTAGAGTTCGACATTTCAGTTGGATAAAGATGGGCTCTGTAGTAAAACAATTTGACAACTAAGTCATAGTCTCTATCTTTTTTTTTTAATGCTTTATTTATTTTTGAGAGAGAGACTGAGTGCAAGTGGGGGAGGGGCAGAGAGAGAGACACACACCCAGAATCTGAAGCAGGCTCAGGGCTCTGAGCTGTCAGCACAGAGTCCAACACAAGGCTCAAACCCACAAACAGTAAGATCATGACCTGAGCCGAAGTTGGACGCTTAACTGAGCCACCCAGGTGCCCCAGTCATAGTCTCTCTCTCTCTCTTTTTTTCCGATTTTTATTTATTTTTGAGACAAAGAGAGAGACAGAGAGCACACGTTGGGGAGGGGCAGAGAGAGGGAGACATAGAATCTGAAGCAGGCTCCAGGCTCTGAGCTGTCAGCACAGAACCCGACGTGGGGCTCAAACTCAGGAACTGCGAGATCATGACCTGAGCCGATGTCGGACGCTTTACTGACTGAATCATGAAAGTGCCTCAGTCATAGTTTCTTTAAACTGAATGGCAGGGAAACATGACAGAAATTTGTCACTTGTGGTAGAGAACAAACATTGTCTCATTTAATATTACCAGAGATCTTTAGTATGATTGGATAGTGAATACATACTTGGTTTGGCTCCCCAGGTTTAAATATTTTGTATCTTTAGCATTCTTTTTCTCTTTTTTTTTTTAGAAAAAGAGAGAGAGTGTGAGCATGAGTTGGGGAGAGGGTCAGAGGAAGAGAGAATCTCAAGCAGGCTCATACTCTGTATAGAGGCCAATGTGGGGCTTGATCCCATGACCATGAGATCATGACCCAAAACAAAACCAAGAGTCAGACATTCAACTGACTGAGCCACCCAGGCACCCCTGTGTCTTTAGCATTCTTATCAGCACACATGATTTGTAACATATAAACTGAATTAAGTACTTGCAAGTCAGTGAATTGCTTCATAGTTTCTCTTTACTTAAAGTTGATTCCTTAAAAGGAGACCCATGTTTCTGATTTCATATATTTCTTTCACCGAGAGAGAGAGAGAGAGAGAGAGAGAGAGAGAGAGAGAGAGAGCTTGCATTAGTGTTTGCACAACAGCTCAGTAGCTGTGGTATATGTATATTTTATTTACACAATAGGAAACATACTATACATATGTCCCTAACTTTCCATGTTTCACTCAACGCATCTCAAAGATCCTTCCATATCAGGACATGTGGATCTATTGAGGAAGATATTTTTAAAGCTAGAGGTAGATTTTTAGTGTTAATGAATTGTTCTTCACTCTCCACAGCCTGTGGCCCTATTGTCTTTTCCCATTTGGTTTCCCAGGGAGGGGCCTGGAGTGGTAGAGTACTAAATCATCACATGAAAACTAAGATCCCCTCACACGAACTCATGGTATGACACTTCTCAATGACACTCAGTAGCGCATGGGCACAACTCCTGGTGTCAGTACTAACTTTTGCTCCTCTTTCTCTAGTTTCCCTCATCCCCCCAAATCATCCATGGATATGGATGGTTGAAAGACAGGTGCCTTTGCAGGCTAATGAAAGGGGGCTGCAGTATTTCTTCTCCCTCACACCCTGCCTGCTGATGTCTGCCATGTTTTATTTCCTTTCTAGGGGAAGCCATATGTCTTTGACCGGGTGTTCCCTCCAAACACGACCCAGGAGCAAGTTTATCATGCATGCGCCATGCAGATTGTTAAAGGTAATGGATATATTTTTAGAATGTATGTTTTCAGGTTCCCATTGCCTACCCCACTTCTTTCCACCAGTGCTCTTTCTCTGCCATTTCTTCCAGATGTCCTTGCTGGCTACAATGGCACCATTTTTGCTTATGGACAGACATCCTCAGGGAAAACACATACCATGGAGGTGAGGGTTCTGACTTTCATGAGAGGTGAAGAGCGGGGAGTGATAATGAGAAGCCAAGGAATCTCAGTGTGGGGCAAGATCTTGGAATCAAGCTTGCTTGATCTGGCGGACGAAGTGAGGAGCATTACTGTTGTGGAAGTTTAGTGAAATCCCTCCAGCCTGCTGCGGTTTTCTATCCTTTCCACTATTCCAGTTTTTTTCCTTTTCATCTGGAAAAGCAGCTACAATAAGAGTTTAAAGGGCTACTCGGTTCTCTCCTTGTTCCACTAAAAAGGTAGACATGGCAGTGACTGCCTCCTACCTTAAGATGGTCTTCTTATCAGCTATTACCTTTGTGTTCATCTGCATTCTTGAGTTGTCTCATTCTTTCTGAGTCCCAACCTCATTCTGGAATACGCTTCCTCCCCAGGGAAAGCTGCATGACCCTCAGCTGATGGGAATCATTCCTCGAATTGCCCGAGACATCTTTAACCACATTTACTCCATGGATGAAAACCTTGAGTTCCACATCAAGGTGATCACAGCATGACAGTTGGGCATCCTCAGATGGGGCCTGGGAGGGGAAGATGTAGCATGAACCCACTGAGAACCTGGGAACCCCAACTTATTTTCCTGCTCTAGTCACCTCAGCTCTTCTTCTCTGCTAAGATACTCTCTTCTGCCCTTTCGCTCCTACTACCACCGTTTGAGTGAGTCACATTCACTTGAGATTCTTGTATCGGATTTAAGATAGGCCCTCTTCACTTTCTCCCTAACTAGGTTTCTTACTTTGAGATTTACCTGGACAAAATTCGTGACCTTCTGGATGGTGAGTGGTGTTTAATCCCGTTGGGTGGGTGGGGGTGTGAGGAAGGCAAAGAAAAAAAAGGTCACATTGCTCTTGGGATTGCGTGCTGTTTGGCAAGAGATGCAGAGGGCACACACACTCATACCGATGTTCCTTGCCTCCACTAACCAGATTTCCAAAAACAAAGGGTCAGAAGATGAGCTTAGACACGCAAGGTGAGCCTGCTCACCCAGAGCATAGAAACAGCCTGAGACCAGCTGGAACCTTGAGGCTAGAATCCTGGAGGAGGAGAAACTGAGTTTTCAGTGTATGCAGGGACGTTAAGCTTCATGGGGAAGTCTTTCTCCTCTTTTGCACATAGAAGAAACCACTGTGTCAGCAGACTACAGGGTGTGGGGTTGGGGATGGAAGTGCTAACATTGCCTACCCCGCATTGTCTTGATTCAGTGACCAAGACAAATCTATCTGTGCATGAGGACAAGAATCGGGTGCCATTTGTCAAGGTGAGAGTGGGGACAGGGGCACCTGGGTGGGTGTATTGACAGTGGGCTTGTGGGAAGAAGATAGACCAGAGACCCAGAAGTTGGAGGGCAGATAGCTCGGAGGACTGAGATGTGCTCAGGGACCAGGGAGAGTCCGAGGGCTTGGAAGACAGTTTTGAAAGGTCACGTGGGCAGTGTGCAGGTAATTTAATTTGCAGATCAACGTTCACAGGTCGCTGTCCATTTGCCCCCCCGCCCCCGCAGGGTTGTACTGAACGCTTTGTGTCCAGCCCAGAGGAGATTTTAGATGTGATTGATGAGGGGAAATCAAATCGTCACGTGGCTGTCACCAGTGAGTGGGGATATAAGGGGCTCTCGAGTCTGGGATTCTGCTGCTTGTCTGCGTCCTCTGGGGCTGAGGGACTGGAAGTAAGCGAGGGAAGACTGTGTCCTCTGCAAGAAGAGGCTGCCCTTGTGTGTGCAAGCCAGCTGCCTGGGAGACGCTGGGGCAGGGCTAGTCCTGACCGGCTCCCTCTCTCTCTGGGTGGGCCAGCGGTCAGTGGAAGCTGGGGGCTGAGGGCTTCGGCTCCACAGGCATTAGTACAGGGACTGCTCCTCCCTTGGTCCTGCAGACATGAACGAACACAGCTCTCGGAGCCACAGCATCTTCCTCATCAACATCAAGCAGGAGAACATGGAGACCGAGCAGAAGCTCAGTGGGAAGCTGTATCTAGTGGACCTGGCAGGGAGCGAGAAGGTTGGGGGCCTGGGGGTGGGGTGGGTAGGCAAGGAGGTCGGGGGGGAGCTTTTTTTTTCAATCAAAATAACTTTTTAGTTGAGATATAATGCGCATACCATAAAGTTTACCATTTTGAAGTATACAGTTCAGTGGGTTTTAGGATATTTGGAAGGTTGTGCACCCATCGCCATTAGTTCTAGACCATTTCCATCACCTGTTAGCCGTCACTCCTTATGCTCCCTTCCCCCAACCCCTAGCAACCACTAATCTACTTTTTTTTTCTGTGCATTTGCCTTTTCTGGACATTTCGTTTAATATGTGGATAGCTTTTGGCAAGAGAGTTTAGGGTAACAGAGGAAGGGCCTTTTCTGTTCTCTTTCCCGGCCCCTGCCCCTCTTGGACTGAATCTCCCTACATGGAGAAGAGGCCATGAGAGCCCTCTCCCTCTGCAGTGCTTATGACATACTCATCCCTTAATTCTCTGGTAGGTCAGCAAGACCGGAGCAGAGGGAGCCGTGTTGGACGAAGCAAAAAATATCAACAAGTCACTGTCAGCCCTCGGGAACGTCATCTCCGCGCTGGCTGAGGGCACAGTGAGTGTTCCTCAGGCCCCCTTGTTCTGGAGGCTGCACCCTGTCTTCCAGCTTCTCCTCCTGCTGCTGCTGCTATCTCATCACGCCCAGTTCATGGGGTGTGCGATCCTTAGTCAGCACCACTGTCCTTTCTGATTCCCTTGTTGAGTATTGTCCTGATTCATAATCTCCCTCCTTCCCCCAGAAAAGCTACGTTCCCTATCGTGACAGCAAAATGACACGGATCCTCCAGGACTCTCTGGGAGGAAACTGCCGGACAACTATGTTCATCTGCTGCTCACCGTCCAGCTACAATGATGCGGAGACCAAGTCCACCCTGATGTTTGGGCAGCGGTCAGTGGCAGAGTCCCTCGTCCCTATGCCAGCCCCTGCTGCACTCACCCCTCAGGGTCACGTAAGCCTTCGTGGAGGTCTCATCTCCTTGTTCTCCTCACCCAGGGCAAAGACCATTAAGAACACTGCCTCGGTGAATCTGGAGTTGACTGCTGAGCAGTGGAAGAAGAAATATGAGAAGGAGAAAGAGAAGACAAAAGCTCAGAAAGAGACGATCGCAAAGCTGGAGGCTGAGCTGAGCCGGTGGCGCAGCGGTTAGAGAGGGTTCCAGTGGGCACGAGAGACTGTGGGAGGAGGAGGCTTGGAGGACCAGAGGGGCCCTGTCTGGGGTGGTGCTTAAGGACAGGCGAACCTCCCAGGAGGGTTGTGTTTCTGGAGGCGTGCAGTAGAGTGGTCATGAGGGAAGGGGAGAGGGGGCTGACCACCCTTGTCCCACCCCCCAGCAAAGGTTGAAGGTGCACTTGGCAACAGAGTTGGAGATCTGCCCGGAGGTCTTGGCGTTGAGGAGCGAGGGAGGAAGGACTCCTGGATACAGCTCTGTCTCCTCCTGTCCCTCACCTTGTTCTGCCCCTTGGCCAGGAGAGAACGTGCCTGAGACAGAGCGCCTGGCTGGGGACGACGCAGCCCTGGGAGCGGAGCTCTGTGAGGAGACTCCTGTGAATGACAACTCGTCCATCGTGGTGCGCATCGCGCCTGAGGAGAGGCAGAAATACGAGGAGGAGATCCGCCGCCTCTATAAGCAGCTCGATGACAAGGTGAGGACATCCAAGGCACAGAGGGGAGGCCAGGGGGATGAAAAGTGAGGGATTAAGGAATTAGCTTCTACTGCCTTTTACAAATTTTTTTTATTAATTTTTTTTAATGTTTATTTTTGAGAGAAAGGGTAGACAGAGTGTGAGTGGGGGAGGGGCAGAGAGAGAGGGAGACACAGAATCCGAAGCAGGCTCCAGGCTCTGAGCTGTCAGCACAGAGTCCGACACGGGGCTCGAGCCCACGAACCATGAGATCATGGCCTGAGCCGAAGTCGGACGCTTAACTGATTGAGCGACCCAGGTGCCCCATATATATATATTTTTATTTTAAAAGGGACAAATGCTCACTCATTACTGCAAATGTGGAAGATAGCACTGACTAACATTTAGAATTGTTGAATTGCTGTATCATATATCTGAAACTAACATAACACTGTATGTTACCCATATTATTATTAAAGAAATTAGGGGTGCCTGGGTGGCTCAGTCAGTTGAGCATCCAACTTGGCTCAGGTCGTGATCTCACGGTTCGTGGGTTCGAGTATCGGGCTCTGTGCTGACAGCTCAGAGCCTGGAGTCTGCTTCGGATTCTGTGTCTCCCTCTCTCTCTGCCCCCACCCCTCTCTCTCTCTCTCAAAAATAATTAAACATTAAAAAAATTTGGAAGATAAATAAAAATAAATAGAAGATTTAAGTCTCCCATCATCACACCATTCAGAAATAACACTACCAACATTTTGCTTTTCTTCATACATAGAGCATGCAGTTGAGATGCACTGTGTGTGTAACTTTGCATCTGATTTCCTCATTCCATATTCTATAAGGAGCAATTTCCTACTTTGTTAACAGTTCTTCATAAAAGTATTTTTTCATTAAAAATCTTTTTCATAAAAGCATTTTAAAAGCATTTTAAAAGTCCATTTATCAAAACATATTTTATTTATTTATTTATTTATTTATTTATTTATTTATTTATTTAAAACCTATTTAACCACTTGCTTACTGCAAGGCCTCTAGTTTTCTTTGTTTTGGGTAGTTTGTTTTTGCTCTTATAAGTAACCCTGAAAGGTCTATCTTTGCCTCTGATGCATAAGACTTTGCTTTTGAATGATTTGATTAGAATGGAGGACCAAAGTGGGAGTTCTTGGTTAGAGGCCATGTCCTTTAATCTAAAGGCTTTTGCTGGGTATTGGCAGGGTTAGATCATCTTCTAGAAGAAAGGAATTGAAAGTGAGGGTAGGAGTGAGGTGAGAGGCTGAGGGGAAAACCTCGTTTTAGGTTTTGGGGTTTCTAACTCAAAGCCTGACCGGTCTGGATTTTTGTCAGGATCCAACCTCTGGCCCAACCCCATCCATCTAGACTGGAAGGGGCTGCCTTTCTTCACTCCCTCTTCCCCCCTTGCCTCCAACAGGATGATGAGATCAACCAGCAGAGCCAGCTCATAGAGAAGCTTAAGCAGCAGATGCTGGACCAGGAAGAGGTAATGGGAAGGAGGACAAGACATGAGAGGAGAGCGGTGTGTTCCCGAAGAAGGGCTTAGTCTTCTGCTTAGGATTTAGTCACCCCCCAAAACTATAGAAGTCTGGGGACTTAACTGGGGCTTTGTGTAAACCACGGATTTTGGAGTCTGGGTGCTTCTTCCTTCTGTTGTCCTGCTTCTAAGAAGCCTACACCCCCCTTCCTCCTGACTTTCACTTTGGCCCTTGCTCCTCTCCTAGAGCTGTGCGCTCCAGGCTTCAGGTGCCAGAGGGACCCTGTCTGGGGTAGTGCTCTGAGCTTCCCCAGACCAGGGGACCATAGCGGTGGTCCCTCACGTGCCTTACCTCTTTCTTGAAGCTGTTGGTGTCCACCCGAGGAGACAATGAAAAAGTCCAGCGGGAGCTGAGCCACCTGCAGTCAGAGAATGACGCTGCTAAGGATGAGGTGAAGGAAGTGCTACAGGCCCTGGAAGAGCTGGCCGTGAACTATGACCAGAAGTCCCAGGAAGTGGAGGAGAAGAGCCAGCAGAACCAGCTTCTGGTGGATGAGCTATCTCAGAAGGTGGTGAGTGGCTGACTGGGGTGCAAGAGCTCCCTGGCCTCCAGAACGTCCCCCACATCCAAAGGGACCCCTGCGTCATGTTTGTACCCTTGCACTGCTGTGTGGTGTGTTGCGGGAACCTTTCCTACCTGTCACCACACTGCCCTCCTGACTCCTGTCTCTTCCAAACCCTTTTGCAGGGCCCATGTTCTCTTTGTAGCAGCCCTCAGGGTCATGTATGAGGGGGAGGCCTCTGCCTGGGCTAGGCAGGGGGGTAGGAAGATGGCAGTGGGATGACCTAAGGGGCTGTCCCCAGGCCACCATGCTGTCCCTGGAGTCTGAGTTGCAGCGGCTACAGGAGGTCAGTGGACACCAGCGAAAACGCATTGCTGAGGTGCTGAATGGGCTGATGAAGGACCTGAGTGAGTTCAGTGTCATCGTGGGCAACGGGGAGATTAAGCTGGTGAGTGGAGACAGAGGCAGGAATCTTGTTCAGGTCATTCTTGTTCTGGGCACTGGTGGGAGATGCAGGGTGGACAGTCCAGGCCCTCAGGGATGCTGAGGAAGGTGGGCCAGAGATCTGGGAAACATGCCTTTAGCATGGGGTGCTTGGATGGCTCAGTTGGTTGAGCATCCGACTTCGGCTCAGGCCATGATCTCCTGGTTTGTGAGTTCAAACCCCACCTCGGCCTCTCTGCTATCAGCACAGAGTCTGCATCCGATCCTCTGTTCCTCTCTCTCTCTGCCCCTCCCCCGCTCATGCTCTTTTTCTTTCTCTCTCAAAAACTAAACAAAAATTAAAAAAAAAAAACTAGGGGCGCCTGGGTGGCGCAGTCGGTTAAGCGTCCGACTTCAGCCAGGTCACGATCTCGCGGTCCGTGAGTTCGAGCCCCGTGTCAGGCTCTGGGCTGATGGCTCGGAGCCTGGAGCCTGTTTCCGATTCTGTGTCTCCCTCTCTCTCTGCCCCTCCCCCGTTCATGCTCTGTCTCTCTTTGTCCCAAAAAAATAAATAAAAACGTTGAAAAAAAATTAAAAAAAAATAAACTAGATACAGGAAAACAAGTAGAATTTTGCACAGACTCAACTGTAAATACACCTTCTACAGGGTGCTGAATAAAGAAGGAATGGAGATGTGCCTATAGCAGGCTTTAGAGATGAGGCACAGATGTGAGAATGATATATGCAAATCTGTGGCAGTGAAAATGACCCATCTGGGCGATCAGGCAGAACAGTTTGACTGCAAAAGAAAATCATATTGTTTTATAAGATGGAAGAGGGCGACTATGGGAACTGGATCTTTAAGTACAGGTAGAAGGATTTAATACGAAATGCCAGGTGATGGCAGGTAAAAGTTGTTTGGAAAATACTTCTCCCACCCGAATCCCTGTGTGTGTGGGTGTACACGGGGATCGGCAGGGTAGAAGGGAATGGGCAAAAGCTTCCCTGCAGCAGAGAAGTACCTCTTCCTGCCTTCCCCCACCCCACAGCCGGTGGAGATCAGCGGAGCCATCGAGGAGGAATTCACGGTGGCCCGACTCTATATCAGCAAAATCAAATCAGAAGTCAAGTCTGTGGTCAAGCGCTGCCGGCAGCTAGAGAACCTGCAGGTCGAATGTCATCGCAAAATGGAAGTGACTGGGCGGGAACTCTCCTCCTGTCAGCTCCTCATCTCCCAGGTGAGCGCGGGGCATTGAGGGCCTTTGCGTGCAATGGGAAGGAGGGTGATTCTGTAGCTTGTGGGATAAAACTCCTAGCACCCACTTTCATGTCAAGGACCTAGGGTCAACCAAAGTCAAGGATAGAAGAGCCTGGGGTGGCAGGGAAGGGTCCAGGCCAGGGAAGTGAAGGGTCAGAGGAGATGGCACCCTCTGAGCTGATGGGGTCTAAAGGGAGGGTCCAAAGAAATGGCCTCTGGCCCTGTGTCTTCAGGCAGGCGCAGCAGGAGGGGAGGGCCTGGGAGGGCTGCAGAGGTCTGTGCTGCCTGGAGTTGTGTCCTTGACTCCACCCTTCTTCCTCTCACCAACCCTTCCCCCATTAGCACGAGGCGAAGATCCGCTCGCTTACAGAGTATATGCAGAGCGTGGAGCTAAAGAAGCGGCATCTGGAAGAGTCCTATGACTCCCTGAGTGACGAGCTGGCCAAGCTCCAGGCCCAGGGTGAGGCCTTCTTAAACCTCCAAACCACTTATCCTGGGATCTGAGATCCCAGAGGGGGCAGGGAGGAAAAGTGGCAGACATCAGAAGAAACCACCTGACAGCATACTCACCCAATGCATTAGACTGACATCACGGAGGCCAACTCATACGCTACTTGGCATGCTTTTGCACAGAGCTTATTGTACATGGACCATAAACCCTCCGTTGATCTCTTTCCCTGCTGTGTCCAATTGGACTGTCCTAACCCAGAAGAACATCACGGAGGGTCCATACTGGGTAGATGTCGCCTGCCCGACCTGGAGCTCTGGTCACAAAGTGGAAGTTCTTTCCGGAGGAGGTAGGTGTGAGGTAAGCTGTCTTTCCTTCTTTCCCTCAGAAACTGTGCATGAAGTGGCCCTGAAGGACAAGGAGCCAGACACACAGGACACAGATGAAGTGAAGGTGAGAGGGGAAGCTGTAGGGGACCACTGGGGCTTGGCAGGGCTGAGCCGGCCCGCTCCAAGCTGGTGTCAGGGAGTCCGGCTTTGAGTGTGGGGTGGGGTTGTTTGCAGAAGGCCCTGGAGGTGCAGATGGAGAGTCATCGGGAGGCCCATCACCGGCAGCTGGCCCGGCTCCGGGACGAGATCAATGAGAAGCAGAAGACTATCGATGAGCTCAAAGAGTAAGAGTCCCCCTGGGCAGCCTCGGCCTCCCCGGGTCCTTTTGCCTTGCTGTGCCCACACGCGTGCTCCCTCTTGGCCCAAGGTCTGCTTTGCTCATTTCCAAGCGCCCCTCCCCCAGCGATGCCACAGCTTTATCACCCAACCCCGGGAGACACGGGAGTGAGGACTAGTCCCTCTCCTTGAGCTCTTGTGATTGGATAGCTCAGGGTTCCTCACTCTGTCAGCGGCCTGCGTCTGCCTCTGATATCCAAAGGTAGATGCATCAGTCCCGACTTGGCCCCGCTGTACCGGAAGGAAAATGTTTGCAGCGCTGGTCTTCCCCTTCCCGGTCCCTGACATCGTTCTGTTCTCTCCGACACCTCCTTGCCCTGTGCAGCCTGAATCAGAAGCTCCAGTTAGAGCTAGAGAAGCTTCAGGCTGACTACGAGAAGCTGAAGAATGAAGAGCATGAGAAGAGCAGCAAACTCCAGGAGCTGACGTGAGTGATGGGTATCTGCCCGCAAACCTGCCGCCGGACAGGCGCAGACTGCTACTCACTCACACCGGCAGAGGCAGGGCGCGATGCAGATGTGCACACGGCAACCTCGAGAGTCATGTGATGGGGCGGGGAAGGGAAACAAAGAGAGACTTTCAGAAAGGACCTCTACTGACTGTTAGTTGCCACGGAAAGATGTTTGTGATGTTCTCTTAAGTGTGAAAGGCAGGTTACAAAACAGTATGAATGGTAGGATCCCATAAAGTTTTTGGGGGCTCTACACGTGTAGAAGTAAGAGTCTGGAGGGGGTGGGGCCCCCTGGGTGGCTCAGTGGGTTGCATGTCACGCTCTTGATTTTGGCTCGGGTCATGACCTCACGGTTTGGGAGTTCAAGCCCCGTGTCGGGCTCCATGCTGAGAGGGTGGAGCCTGCTTGGGATTCTGTCTCCTTCCCCACCCCCAGCTGGTGCTCTCTCCCTTTCAAAATAAATAAATAAACAAAAACAAAAAGAAAAAAAGAGGAAGAAGGAGAAGTAAGTAAGAGTTGGGAAAGATGGACACCAGAATGTTAATGATGGTTTGATCTGTGAGTAGTAGAATTATGGGCTTTTTATGAAATTCATCTTTTTTTCTTTTCTAATTTCTACACAGTGAACAGGGTAATTTGCATAATAAATAATAATAAAGTATAGATCAAAGGAATGGAGAGGGAGGAGAAAGGGAGGAGGGACTGTCCTGAGGGACTCTTGTGTTTTCCTTCTTCTCCCCAGATTTCTGTATGAGCGACATGAACAGTCCAAGCAGGACCTCAAGGGTCTGGAGGAGACAGTTGTGAGTGGTTTCTCTGTACCAAGTTAACAGGGTGAGGTGGGGACTTCATTTCTTCCCCCTGATTTCTTCATAACCCCATTCCTTATGCAGAGTCAGTCTGTGGCATAATCAGGACACATCTTTTCCTAAAGGATGAGTGATTCACCTGACTAGGCAGACTGAAGGTTCCAATAATTTTGAAGTGAAAAAGTTGACCTGGTAATTTGGCCATCCCCAATTTTTCACCATTCTTTCCAGGCCCGGGAACTCCAGACCCTCCACAACCTTCGCAAACTGTTCGTTCAAGACGTCACGACTCGAGTCAAGAAAGTGAGTGCCTTCCTAGGATTTTTCACAGCCCCCATATTTTCCTCCCGTCCTCAAGTTTGTGTAACCCCTCCGTCTTTAATCAGAGTGCAGAAATGGAGCCCGAGGACAGTGGGGGGATTCACTCCCAAAAGCAGAAGATTTCCTTTCTTGAGAACAACCTGGAACAGCTTACAAAGGTTCACAAACAGGTAAGCAAAGGGGGCAGGGGTGAAGAGAACTCTTGAGGCCAGGTGCCGAGGAGACCCAAGTCCTCTGAGGCCCCTTGGATTTAGGAAAACCTACTTGCATGTCTTCCTTACTTTTCCCTTTGACTTTTCCTCCGAATCCCTTCTTTATCCATATTTGGTCCCACTTTTCCCTTGTTCTTTGTTCCATGCCTGTTCTGCCCTCTCAAAGCTCCCTGCCTGCCTCTGCTCAAAGTGAAATTCCCCAGGCCTATGGATGTGGAGGGAGAGGTTGAAACTGATAGAGGTTTCAGAGGCATGGGGCTGTGGCGCCACATGAGGGATACTGGTCAGAGACAGGAAACGATGGGACAAGACAGAAGCTGGGGAAGTTGGGCTTTCTCTCATGGAGAGAACTCCATCTGCCTAGGCCTGGGGCAGGCATGCAGGGTAATTAAAGGATGTCCTCCAGATGGCCCAACCACCCCCTGATCGGGGCCGGTTGAAACTCCTGTGTATTAAGTTGCTGCCTCTCTGTCCCCCTCCTTGCTGCTGCGGTTCCTTAGGTGGATGACTGGGTTTCAAAGGTATGGGGTGGGGAGGCAGAAGGGGCAGTCCAGAGGAGTCAGGACAGGAAATGTTTGGCGAGGACAGAGCAGGAGCACCCTCCCTAGTGCCAAATATCTGAGCCTTGAAGACAGTTGTGGCAGTGTATCAACTGGCTCTTCTGATTCATAAAATAAACCCTAATCTATCCTTCATTCCCTTCTTTCAATCCACCTTAACATTGGATTTAAACTCATGTTCTCAGGGCACCTGCCTGGGTGGCTCCGTCGGTTAAGCACCCGATTTCTGCTCAGGTCATGATCTCACAGTTCGTGAGTTCCAGCCCCGCATCGGGCTCTGTGCTGTCAGTGCAGAGCCTGCTTCAGATCCTCTGTCCCCCTCTCTCTCTCTCTGCCCCTCCCGACTTGCGCACTCTCTCTCAAAATTAATACAAACAAAACAAAACTCATGTTCTCACTAAATCGGAGCTTAAATTTCTCAGTGCAATGCCCAGCATATTTAGCAAATATTTGGTACACCTTTTCTTTTTTTCACAAATATAATAAAAGGAAAAGTCCCAGAACTGTGGCCCAGTGATAATCTGCAGGTTTATGTATTTTATTTGGGCCTGCAGAGGGCTACACTATCATTTCCCCCCCTTTGTTTATTATAAAGCAGTATAACAATGTAACAACATTACAGAAAAGTTGAAAGTCAAGGGAGGAAACATTTGTAATCAGTTCCGCCTTCCTATTTTCATTTCTCTGTATTCACTTTCCTTCTCCGTCCAAATGGATGTCATGTTGCTTATTTTTTCCCCAGTGTTTTTGTTGTGGTAACACACACATAAAATTTACCGTCATAATTACTTTAGGGTCAGTGGTACTAAGTGCATTTGTATTCGTACTGTTGTGCAACGTCACCACTATCATCTCGCAAAACTGCACCTCTACACCTATTAACAAACAGTAACTCCCCATTTCCCCTGTCTCCCAGGCCCTGGCCACCATCATCATTCTTCTTTCTGTCTCCATGATTTTGTCCCCTTTCAGTACCTCCCATAAGTGGAATCATACAGGATTTGTGCTTTGTGACTGGCTTGTTACCCTTAGCATAATGTCCAGGCTTATCCACATTGTAGCATGTATCAGGACACAGGCTGTGTCCTTTTTCCTCATGGAAGCATCTGCCTCTGCTCTAAGTCCCAAAGATCAAAAACTACTCACCTGTAGAATGGAGGACTCCTCATAATGTCCTACTTCAGCAGAGACAAGACTAGAAAGGAAAATGAGAGAGATGCAGAAACCTCCTCAGCGAATAAATAGAATCTTAAATGGGCAGGACTGCAGCCCTATTATTAATTAAGCCAAACTATCCCCACAGCAAAGCATTGTTTATAATCTTGAAATTGTCCAGAGTGAAAGAGGCACAGAAGTGTTCCCAGCTCTGCCCTTTCTCCCGAGGTCCCCACTATACTCATTTACCTGGTATCTTCCAAGGCTGGCTCTGACAGTCTGTAGGGCCCCCAGTTATGGTATGAAACCCTATAAAAAGGTCAAGAAGTCTTTTCTGGCTGCCAAGTGGTTGCTACCACTCTCTAGCTTAATTTAAATGCGGGAGGGGCAGCCCAGGAACCCCTTGTATGTGAAGGTAATGAGCACAAATGTTTGTGAGACCTCAAACATTTTCTTTCCCTCCTATGGGGTGCTGTGCGTATGTGTGTGGGTCGGGGGTGAGGTGGGGCTCCCGTATTCCAGCTTCTGCTCCTGCTCTGCACCGCACCTAACCTGCACTCAATGCCATATCCACCTTCCAGACTGCTACCATGCTCTTGCTGGCCCGCCCCCCCGCATGCCTACAAAGCCATCTCTGGGAGAAGGGTGCCTCATCCCCATGGTTGCCCTGGGGCTGTTGGTCTGGCACAAGCTGTGAGATATTAGGGGGCGGATATTTAGGCCAGGAAAAGACGAGGACAGGGCATTGTCACAAGAGTTCTGGGCTACAGTGGAGTTGGCATGTTTCACTGTTCAGAAAATGATGTAACTTTTTAATGCCTGACCACTGTTTGCTTAGGGAGAAGGAAAGAAGTGGCCAGAAGAGCCGTTAGGTAAAGGGAACGAGGACTTGAGGAAACTACACGGTCTCCGTCTTCTCTGACTTGATTTTTCTGTATTCTCTCTCCCTGCCCTGCACTCCCACACTCCACTGCTGGCTCTCTTGGGTCCCTGGCTTTGCCTCTGGCCCCTTCCCTTGGTCTTACCCCACAGCTGGTACGTGACAATGCAGATCTGCGTTGTGAGCTTCCTAAACTGGAAAAACGACTTAGGGCTACGGCTGAGAGAGTTAAGGCCCTGGAGGGTGCACTGAAGGAGGCCAAGGAGGGCGCCATGAAGGACAAGCGCCGGTACCAGCAAGAAGTGGACCGCATCAAGGAGGCCGTTCGGTATAAGAGCTCCGGCAAGCGGGGCCATTCTGCTCAGATTGGTGAGTGCAAGTGGGTGGCAGCCGACAGGGTGGGATTACCACTGGGGGAGATCAGCAGATTCCTAAGCATCGAGCAACTAGATTGTTGCTTTTTACCCTACCCCGACCCCGGGATCACCCCCCCTCCCCATACCATCCCCCAAACGTGTAACAGTGAATGATCTTATAAACACCTCTGTTCAGCTGCAGCAAAAATGACTTTAGGGACCAGGGCAGCTGCAGGGTGACGGCCTCCTCATGGTCATTTTCTTTTCTTTACCACAGCCAAACCTGTCCGGCCCGGCCACTACCCAGCATCTTCACCCACCAACCCCTATGGCACCCGGAGCCCTGAGTGCATCAGTTACACCAACAGCCTCTTCCAGAACTACCAGAATTTGTACCTGCAGGCTGCACCTAGCTCCACCTCCGACATGTAGTGAGTGGCCACTGGCGTGGGTTGCAGTCCCAACCCAAGGCTCTCGGCCCTCTATAAGGCATAAGATTGAGTCCGTTATTGGGTGACACTTACTTCTTTTCCTAAGTAGCTCCATTTGTGACCCTTTCGCGATTTCACACCTATGGTTAGAAGGTGGGCCTTGCCTTCCCAGCCAGTGGCCATGCAGTTGTCCTCTGTTCTCTGGGGATGGGAGGCTCCATCACTGAGGGGATTACTGGTCCTCCAAGTAGTGGAGGACGGGTGCCAGAGGCTGCGTGTCTCTCCTCTGCTCCATCCAGCTTTGCAAACTCCTGTACCAGCAGTGGGGCCACGTCTTCCGGAGGTCCCTTGGCTTCCTACCAGAAGGCCAACATGGACAATGGTGAGTGAAAAAGATGGGTGACCAAGTGGCCTTTGGGATTCCCAGGGCAAGTTGAAAAGAATAAGAGAAGTAAGTGACCCTGTGCCTACAGGTGGAACACTGCCCATCACTTCAGGGTCTTGGATTCTTAGAGGCGGATTCCTCCCCTTGCCGTGCCTGTCCTCACCCTCCCCTGCCTTTCTGCTACTCTTCTCCTTCAGGGGGCATCAGGGAGACCTTTCTCAAACAAAACAATCATGCAGCTTAGGGTAGTCGAGAATAGTGACCCAGGTGGCAGCTATATTCCAAAGAGTCTTACCTTTTTCTCTAAGGGGTTAGGATGCGGGAGGGTTTGGGGAAACTGCTTCTAACAGTCTCTTTTCTTCTCCTAATCCTGTGTTCTCAATGATGATCTCTTCAGGAAATGCCACAGATATCAATGACAACAGGTACACCAGTCCCCATTGCTCCTGGGTTCTCTAGGTGGGACCAGAAGAAATGGTTCAGTTTCGCTTGGGCCCTACTCGGAGGTTCCTTGGAGCCTTCGGGGAAAGGAGGAGGAACTGAGAACCGTTCTTGCCATCACCATGTTGTCCAGAAGATCGACTCATCCCCTGCCTCTTGGGGCAGAGAGCACGTCCCCCCCGCCCCACCCATCCCATCGGCGGCTCCCCCCCCCCCCACTCCATTACGGGGGCCGGGGAAGTACCAGGGCCACCCGATGACATGGGTTTCTCTGCTTCCTCTGGGAACTCTGTGACCTTGCGCAAGTCAGCTCCATCTCTCTAGCTTTGATTTTCCTTGTATTCCTGTAAACCCTGAATAGTCCCCGCCTTTTGTTATCTCGTAGGGATGCCAGGAGAGCAAAGTGACAGGAATGTTTTCCTTTACATGGAGCTGACAGTGCTGGGTCTCTTCTTCCAGGAGTGACCTGCCATGCGGCTATGAGGCTGAGGACCAGGCCAAGCTGTTCCCTCTCCACCAAGAGACGGCAGCCAGCTAATCTCCCTCACGGACTGCCGCATACCTGCCGCACTTTCAGGTAGCTCCAGGCTGCTTTCTCTGACCAGCCTCAGGGTGCCTCCTGTCTTGCCCTCAACCTCTTCGTTCCCCCTGCTTTTTTTATCGTCTCAAAACTTTTAATATGTAGTTGTCCCTCAGCTCCTGCCTTCCCTTCCTAGGGGCTACTTCGGTGCTGGCCCACGGGCTGTGGACACTGACCTCCCCATCTCCCTGAAGCTTTCCTTTTGGCTAGAGTAATGACCACAGTACTGCGTTGCTGCCACTAGAGGTTGCTGCCACATGTCAAAAAGAGTGAGCGGGGATGGTGCCCATCTAGAGTCACGCCCAGGTCAGGGAATGAAGTAGATGTAAGGAGACTTGAGAGATCATCCCAACCCTCTCTCTGCCTCCACCCTGAAATAATTTTGGATGGATAGGTATTTTCGGAAGTAAGACACCTCCAGTAAAGGAGATGTTTGCTTTATCCCTACACCTGTGTCCCATACACCTCGTATCTGTGTATGTTACCAGTAAGCTCCAGGAAATGCCCCAGGAAGGCTAACTTTTTGTCTCTATACTTCAGTGTCAGCACTCCCCTCCCACCTTGCTCAGTGGAGGTGGAAAATAGCCGTGTTCCCTCCCTGAGCCCCCTTCTTCTGCCTCCGCCCCCAAGTCCTCTTTTCCAGCAGCGATGGCACCTTCCTGGGTCTTGTGTGTCACCAGGCTTCTCACTTGCTCTAGGGCCCAGAACTGGACACTAAGAGTCTGTTTATTTCCCTCTTTGGAGAACCAGAAACGAGAGGATATGGTCAGTCTCTTACTGGGCTGCATCCAAGCCAAGCCCACTCCAGGGGCTTTCCGGGATAGTAAGCCGGACACAGTCAGGCAGAAAGACACGAGGGGCAGAGAAGTAGGAATGGGGAAGCAAGGTGACGGTCTGGGGTAGAGGAGCAGGGGCTGAGAGAATAGTGTCTGGTTGTTGGTATTCAAGGAAGAAGACTATCAATCAAATTTGTACAAATGCCACTCTGTTCCTGTTGAGCGGTTGGGCTACAAGGTGGTTCCTCACGACCTCTTTCTCTTTCTTCCCCAGTTTCTAAGAGGGACTGAGGCCTCTTCTCTCAGCATGCTGCAAACCTGTGGTCTCTGATACTAACAACTCCCTCCCCAGCCCTTGTTGTTTGACTGTACCGTTTGATGTCTACTCTTACTCTGTATCTCTTTGTACTCTGTATCTATATATCAAAAGCTGCTGCTATGTCTCTCCCTTCTGTCTTACTCTCTAAGTATCTAATGATGTATTTAGCAATTTCTAAGCATAGTATACCCTCCTCATTTGGGGTAATAGGGAGGAGGGTGAATGTTTCTTCTTTCAAACACGCGTCTCTCACACTGAGTGGTGTTAGTCACGGAGATGGTAAAAGGAAAAATGGGAGCTAGAGGGCTGTGATCCTTCTCTCTCTCTCTCTCTCTCTCTCTCTCTCTCTCACTCACACACACACACACGCACACATGCACACACGCACACACACGCACACAAAGCCTTAAGCAGAAGAATGTCTTAGCATCATAAGAAGATACAGAAATAGACTCTTCCTCCCTCCTCTTTCACGTATAGCATAGGGGAGGGTAAAATGGAAGGACTGCTAAATTACATGTAGAATTTTATTCATATACCCCTCATCTGAACCGAGGGAGTCCGGGTGTGCAACTCTACCCTCCAAAGTGTACCTTGGGCCTCCCTCTTCCTGTCCCCTGACCCCCCTGTCCCAATGACCGAGGACATGGATTGTTCAAGGGACTATTTCCCTTTCTCCTCAAAACTCCTTTTGATATTCTCTGCCCCAGAACTCATGAACAGAACCTAGAGTTAACTTAAAATATTTTGGGAATTTGAGGAGGCAGACTCTTCACAACAGTCTATCAAATGGTTGCTCATCTGTCAGGTGATAGTTATAGGCAAGCATAGCCAATGATTGCTTCTTTGGGTTTGGGGGGAGGGGGTGAACACACTGGGAAATTCCAAGTGTTTTTTTGCCACGGTGAGGAGCTGGATTCTTTTCTCTGTCCCATATTGGGCTGCATGTTCTTCCCATCTCCACCTTTTGGTTTGGGACCTTCCAGTTCATTGACAAAATATCTATCTCAAGATGCTTTCCTTTCAGGCTAGAGCCTCACTTTACCCCATGGTATGTCAAAAAATTTCTCTTGACACAAATCCTTTGATAATATGTCCCCATCTGGTACTAAGTGCACTTTAAAGAAAGGGGCAGAGCAGACTGGGGGGAGGATGGTTAGAGGGGAGTGCTCTTTCCCCAGCACCACCCCATGTAATTGATAGGACTGTTATCTTAGTGTCCTTCCACATGGTGCTAGGGTGGTTTTCTAGGTAACTGCAGGGATGGAGAGTGGAGGTCATAAGTCGCTCCAAATCAAGAAACAAAGCCTGATGTCCAAATACCCAGTCTTACGTAGGGTGGAAGAACAGGATCCCCCAGCAGGGCAACCATCACCTAGTTTCGAAGTCAGGAAAGAAAGCTTGGTGTGAGTACCAGCTGGCAAATATAGGTTGTATCAGCCTGTGACTCCTTCAGGGGAAAAGGTTCCTTCCTCTGTTACCTGTTGGGCCCCTTTTTAGCAATTATGGAGACATGCAGGGAAAAATATACCAGAAGGGTGTAGAGTAAATCCAAAGCAGTGATATTCAAACATTTTTCAAAACAACTCTTTTATGGAACCCCGATATAAAAAAATCACTAAAAGTGAGGCAGATCTGGGCAGTTTCCATTTTCTTTATTTGGTGGAAAATGCTTCCTTGGCCTGAGGGTTCTATAAAGTAGTTTGAAAACCACTGCTCTGAAGGAAAAGGGGTTCCAATCTGCCTCCCCTGCCCCAAGCCCATAACCTAGAGCAAAGAGGGAAAGTCCCAATGGGAGAAGAAGGAAGCTACCTATGCCCCTGTAGACTTGAGCTAAGATTTGCCAACAGGGCACCTCAGAATCACTTGGGCTTTATTTAATCTTGCCACCAAATGATTCTTTTAAAACACTTAAGAAACTGTGAAGGTGTAGGGCAGATGAGGAGAGAGATGTAAGGGAAATATAATTCACTTACATAAATAAGAACACACACACACAAGGCCTTCACCAGAAGCTTCACTCTACATCCCCCCACCCCTTCCCACCACCACAGCATCCCTTTCGGAGAGCTAGGGTCACCACAAAGGGGCACCTGGCCTGCCCACTCACATCTGCCAAAATGTTGCATGCCAGCGTGGAAGACAAACCAAACCGCACAAACCCCAGTGTGTATTTACTTGATGTACATAGATACCTTGAAAATAAAATAAATTCAATGATGACTCTGTGGTGTTGTAAATCTTTATCCCTCCCCGGTCTCACTCCGTTACTTGCTTGTAATGGCATTTGACAGTGTGGTGGATATCCTTCCAGATGTTTCTCTATAGATTTACACACATTTTTTTTTTCCCCACTTGACAACATTCTGGAGATCTCTTCGTGTCATCATGTGTAGATTTGCCTCATTAAAATATAGATATAATTTTTCAAAAATGTATTCTATAATTTATTCAACCATTCTGGTACTGGTGGACGCCTATCTAGGTTGTTTATAATTTTTAACAAAAAATGGTATCCCATTCTCTTCATTTTTTCCCACAGACCATCACCTCAGTCCCAGTATCAATTCTGTCCCTCTCCAGTGGTGCCTGGGTGGCTCAGTCTGTTGAGCATCTGAATTTGGCTCAGGTCATGATCTCACGGTTCATGGGTTCAAGCCCCACATTGGGCTTGCTGCTGTCAGTGTGCGGAGCCTGCTACAGATCGTCTGTTCCCTTCTCTCTCTGCCCCTCCCTGGCTCATTCTCTCTGTCTCTCTCTCAGTCATTCATTCATTCATAAGGTAAGCGCTACACCCAACATAGGGCTTGAACTCACAGCCCAGAGATCAAGAGGCACGTGCTCTACCGACTGAGCCACTCAGGTGTCCCCTACCTCCATTTTAGAGCTTACCCCTACATGTCCTCTCTGCTCATGCCTTGGAGCTTCTGAGATGAGTGGAGAAAACTGCAAGACCAAAACAGCGGGGCAACTGAAAGCCTAGGAAGCAAACTGGCTCTTGGGTGTTGCTTACCACTTCTGTGTATCCCTACTCGGTTTCCTCCCCTGCCTCCCAGAGCAGGTGGTTAAAACTCCTCACCATCCTTTCTCACCTCCTCTCTTAGGCAACAATTAAGGCAACTGAGCATGAAATTCTTCATCTCCTCTCCATACCTACACACATACCTATATCTGCACTAATCCTTTCCTTTCTTCCTTCTAACAAGTGGTGCCTGGGTGGCTCAGTCTGTTGAGCATCTAACAAGTGATAAATCTTCTCTGGACTAAAGCAAATCTCTTCTATATCCTTCATTCTTGAGATACTTACATAGACCCAATATATACGATACCTAAAAGTGATGCAGATGGGCGGTTTGCATCTTCTTTGTGATTTCTCCACTTCTTGTAAGGTCTCCCTGATAAGTGTGTTTCTTTTATTTTTTTAACCTACTCTCTATGCCCAGCGCCCAATGTGGGGTCCAAACTCATAATGCTGAGATCAAGAGTCACATGCTCTGTTGACTGAGCCAGCCAGGCGCCCTGAAAAGTGTTCTTTTACTGTGTTTCTCCATACATGACTCCCCATCTTGTTTTCTTACAGCCAGATTTCCTGACAAAGTCTCAAGCTTCCCCTCCCCACTTCTTTGCCTCCCGTTCATTCCTCAGCTCACCTTGAACTGGCTCTTGTTCTGCTGACACAGCTTCTCAAAGGTCACTGGTTGCCAAATACAATGGGCACTTCTCCATCCTTGTCTGCTTCACCCCTCCATGACATGTGACACAACTCTTGACTCCTTCCTTTTGGAAACTCTACTCTCTGGTTTCTGTGACCCTGCTCTCCTGTCTCCTTTCATTTGGTCTTTTTTTTTTTTAATTTTTTTTTTCAACGTTTATTTTTTATTTTTGGGACAGAGAGAGACAGAGCATGAACGGGGGAGGGGCAGAGAGAGAGGGAGACACAGAATCGGAAACAGGCTTCAGGCTCTGAGCCATCAGCCCAGAGCCCGACGCGGGGCTTCAACTCACGGACCGCGGGATCGTGACCTGGCTGAAGTCGGACGCTTAACCGACTGCGCCACCCAGGCGCCCCTCCTTTCATTTGGTCTTATTAGTCTTCTCCCACTGGCATCTTAAATGCTGGTCTATACCACGCTTTCTCTCTTAAATGCTGGTCTATATCATGCTTTCTCTGGGAGATGTCCTCCACACCCACAGGTTCTCAATTACTCAATCTGTATCCCCAGCCCAGACTATTCTGCTGAGCCCTGGGCTCATATGTTCAATTGCCCTCAGGTACCTCAAACACACTCCAAACTGAACTTGTCACCAAACTGCCCCCTTTCAGGTCACCACCACCAGGTCAGCCTGGGATTCATTCTCAAGGTCTCCCTTTTCCTCAAGCCCCACATCCACTCAGATTTTTTCAAATTGACATCAAACTGTATCTTATTTTTTTTAAATTTTTTAAATGTTCTATTTATTTTTGAGACAGAGAGAGACAGAGCATCAGCAGGGGAGGGGCAGAGAGAGAGGGAGACACAGAATTGGAACCAGGCTCCAGGCTCTGAGCTGTCAGCACAGAGCCCGACACGGGGCTCGAACCCACAAACTGTGAGATCATGACCTGAGCCGAAGTCGGACACTTAACCAACTGAGCCATCCAGGCGCCCCAAACTGTATCTTTTTTAAAAATGTTTATTTATCTTGAAAGAGAGAGAGAGAGGCAGAGACAGTGGGAGAGAGTATCCCAAGCAGGCTCCATGCTGTCAGTGCTCTGAGCACCAAGCCTGAAGTGGGGCTCAATCCCCCAAACTGAGATCATGACCTGAGCAGAAATCAAGAGTCCCATGCTCAACTGACTGAGCCGCCCAGGCGCCCCTCAAACTATACCATACCTTTATTTATTTATTTTTAAGTTTATTTATTTTGAGAGAGAATGCATGAATGGGGTAGGGACAGAGAGAAAGGGAGAGAGAATCCCAAGCAGTCTCCTCACTGTCGGTGCAGAGCCCGATGTGGGACACGAACCCACGAAGTGGGTTGTGAGATCATGACCCGAGACAAAGTCAGACGGCGTAACCAACTGAACCCCGCGCCCCTCAAACTATATGCCTTTACATGCCATTCCCTCGTTTCCATCCCAACAGCCACTGTTTTAGTTCGCCATCTTCTGTCTAGACTTTTAGAATACTCCTCCAGTCACCCTCCAGAATGATGCTTGAGTGGTCCTTGTAAAAGCACATTTAATCCATCGAAACCACTTAAGGAATCTCCTTCGTAAAGCAGCGCTTTGGGGAGGGAGGTTACTCCTAGAAACTGGGCAAAATCGGCAGGCGGCGACTTTGCAGCAACCGAGCCCCACCCACTCCATCCCTGGAGTGAATCAGGCCTGCCCAGGTCACATCTCCATCGCCTCGGAGGCAGGTCCGGGCCTGGCTGACAGCGGACCGCCCGCAGGGAACACGGCTTCCGAGCGCCCGCCCCCAGCGCCAGGTGAACCCACCCACCGCGCGGACGTTGGGGCCGGGCTGGCGCCAGGGGGCGGAGCCAGTCCCGCACCGCCCTGCTGCGCGCCTGCGGGGCAGCCTCCGGTCACGTGACGTCGGCCCAGGTGAGCACCGCTTCCGGGGTCGGGAGCCTGCTTCGCCGCCGCTTCGGGTTTTCCACTCAGTCGGGTGCACCCTCCGGAGAGGGAGACTATGGCGTCTTCCTCTGTCCCGCCGGCTACCGTATCGGCGGCGACAGCGGCCCCGGGCCCGGGTTTCGGCTTCGCCTCCAAAACCAAGAAGAAGCATTTCGTGCAGCAGAAGGTGAAGGTGTTCCGGGCGGCCGACCCGCTGGTGGGCGTGTTCCTGTGGGGCGTAGCCCACTCGGTGAGACCTGGCATTAGCCCCCCATGAGCCCCGTCCAAACCCAGCTGCTCGTGCTCCTCCGGGCGTCCCGCCTGCGGAGCCCCTCGCGCTGCCACTTTTCCCCGCGGCTGTCCTGGTCCCTGCCCACCAAACCTCAGGTGTTCCCCGGCGTATCTTGTTTTAGACGTTGTTGCTTGGTTGGTTGCTTTTTGAAATGTAGGCTTTTGGTTCCCCCTCCGCCCTACGTTCCACCACCCTAGTTCCGCCTTCTCCACCTGAAATCCAACTTTCTCCCTTCTTCCTGCTGGGTCCAGCCTCAGCCCCAGGCCACAGAGACTGGCCCGGACCCGGCATCAGCTGTAAGGACATTAGGGGGAGTGGTTTTTCAGGGTTGGTGGTAGAGGTCTCCGGTGAGAGTGTGCGTGTGGAAGGGGAGCAGGGAAGGTAGCTGGATGAGGGGGATCGTTCGCTTTCCTTTCCAGCTGCTGTCCTTGATTTTGGAACCTTGGCTTTGAGGGAAGTTCCAGGCTTTCCTGGACTTTCTGATCCTACTTGTCCTTTCCTTTCCCTTCCAGAGGTACAACATTTCAGAGAAGCTACCCACCCTCAGCCTCATTAGGACTTATGTATGGTATATTTCTTTGGTCTTAATTGCATCCCCGTTGCTGGCTGGAGTGATGGCGTTTGGTGTAATTGGGGGACATCTCTGACCAAACAGATGGCTGAGGAGCTCTGGTCCTGGGGACACTATGATGGCGAACTTTAGAAACAGGTAGAGGCTATGACCTGGGAATGAGGAGGAGGCCAAAGAGGCCAGTGAATCTCTTTTTCTTTACTCAGGTGCAGGATGCACAACTGTTGCCCCTTTTCCCTCAGATCTGGAGTGGGAGGGATGCGGTGACTTTGAATGTAACAGGCAATATTTTATGAATGCATTTCCTTGAATTGTTACACTCATGGCAGGAGGTGAAGAGAATACAGTTTTTGTCCCCTCCTTAATTTGGGGTTTAAAATGTCGTTGGGGGTCTGCCAGCTCCCTTTTGCATTTGTGGTTCTGTGGACTGCTCCCAACTCCTGGGTGGTAATATCTTTAATTAGAGAGTATCCGGGCTAAGGCACTTGGGATGGGCAAAGCATATGGAGGTAGGGCTGCCTCTCATACGTACCTTCCAGGTGACCCATCCATCCCTTTGGGAAGCTTAACAAGGAGGATTTTCCTTTGCTAAGGATAGAGGGCGTTACATGAGACCTGCCTCAGCTTCCCCAGGTATATATACTTTAGCTCCAACACCCCACCCTCCAGCCAACACACATTTACTTCAAGTGTCTAGAATGGAGAATTCCTTGAACATATGTCTTAGTGATGATTCAGCCTGCTTAACAGCAGGTGGCGAGGAGGGGCATGAAGAACTGTAGCTGAATTTTAGGCTGGGAATCTCAAGTGGCTTTTTTCCCCCACCCTGGAGGAATATGTTCTGCCCTCCTTTTCTACTGAGAACGAGAGGAGCACGGTTTCACTGAAATCTGTGGGATTTAGGTTAGACTGCACTTCATAACCTGTGTTGAATGATCAAGTAAAGTTAGGCAAGGCATTCATTTATTCACTTAATAAACACTTCAGGACCCCTTGTGCCAAACATTATGCTAGCAAGGCACCCGAGGGATGCAGACAATTACAGCTGGTCCTTGCCCTTGAAGAGCTCATGATTTAGGTGGGGAATTTACATAAACTAGCCATTAGAGTCATATGATAAGTGCACTATTAAAGGTGGGTGAGCAGTACCATGGCAACGCTGGGGGGAAAACACATCTCCTTGGGATTTCTTAGTACAGGAACTCCCTTTCCACCCCAAATTAGCAGATGGTTGGCTCTGGGGGCCAGGGAGGGCATGTGTTGCTCGCCTCCTTTGGGCCGTGGGTTGGCTTGACTTTAGGAACAGATACCTTAATGAACTCTTATCTTCCGCCCACCTGCATTCCCCTCTAGAATCAGCTGCTCTTCTTTACCTTACACCCAGGCAGGTGGGGACCTACTAGAGAGACCTGGGTCAGGGTGGTCTGGAAGGACTGGTCCTGTTTGTAAGGAGATGCCTCCTGCAGGATGTGGACATCTCATTCTTGTTGCTGTTGACTCCCCGGAGTCCCATTAACGCTCTTGTGTACTTTAAGGAATGCCTTTTTTTTTTGTTTTTAATGGAGCATGGAACTGTTTGTCTTGAGTCTGCTGAGGGTATTTTTTTTTTTTCTTTAGAACTTCTCACAGCTTTAAAAATAGTCCTGAGCTGCTTACAGGGTTTGCCTAATATAAAATGACTGCTGTGAGCATGAAGTTCCACGGGGGTGGAGTGTGAAGGGCTGTGTGTGGGGGTTGCTCACTGCAGTCCTTGCTGGGCAGCAGAAGAGGTCAATGCATTCTCTCACCTCTGGCAAGTAGTTGCATAACCAGTGTTTTTAAAGGAATGAGGTTTGAGTTGCCCTTTTGTGACTCTTGCCCAGACACAGTGTAGAAGTAGCTCTCTGTACCCCTACTCACTGGCTCCCTATTCTTGTTTTGGCTTATCAGATCAATGAGCTCAGCCAGGTGCCTCCCCCAGTGATGCTGCTGCCAGATGACTTTAAGGCTAGCTCCAAGATCAAGGTCAACAATCACCTTTTCCACAGGTACGTGGAGATCCTTGCTCTTCTCACGTCAGCCTTCCCAGAAGAGAGTATTACGTAAGTTTAAGAGTTAAGATGCCATGAGTTGAAGGTTTTAGATGTGGAAGGCAACTTACAAATTCTATGTTCTAACCTCCTTCCCAGTGCCGAAATTCAGTATCGTGCAAAGAAACCATTGTAATGACTACCAGTGTAGAGAACGCTGGAATATTTATACTAGTTTGTTTTTCATCTGAGCTGGTGATACCATAGAGTAAATATATTTGGATGCCCTTACCATTAGCCTTCTGATAGAGACTGCTTGAAAGAAATATCTGAGTCTCCTAAGTGCTCCCGGTATCAAAAGATGCCATTCAAAACTGTGGCACCTATTGCCAATTTTAGGATGTCTCGAACTTGCATGAGATTTGGGAAACACTACTGTTTGGCTGGGCATTAGATCCTGGTTTGTTTAAGCTGCTTACCAGCCATGTGTTTGAAGCAGGCCCCTCAACCACCCTGTGCTACAGACTCTCCTTCTATAAAATACCCCTTTAAATATAGGGAATAAAATAAAGGAAAAATATACCCCTTTAAAGGACTTCACAAGAGTTTTATGAGACTCAAATAAGGTAATGTGTATGAAGGTGCTCTGTAAACTGTCAAGCCCTGTATAAATGTAATATTGTTAACTTTGTTTTCTTACCTTGAAAACCCTTATTTCAGGGAAAATCTGCCTAGTCATTTCAAGTTCAAGGAGTATTGCCCCCAGGTCTTCAGGAACCTCCGTGATCGATTTGGCATTGATGACCAAGATTACTTGGTGAGATTACTCGGGTTTTCGGGTGAGGGGAGTCATTTCTCCCTAACAAATGGGGAACTCCTTGGGCCAGTCATGTTTGGAGATATGAGAGCCTTGACAAGTCTGATTCTTTACCTATTTGTGGTCACAGGCATCTCAAAAATCTGATGAAAGCCACTTACCCTTTCCTTGGGGGAAAATGTGGCCACATTAAAAATTTTGCTTTCACTATCATTCAGTCCATAGTAGGGTCATCAGATTAAGATACCCAGCTCAACCTTTTATGCAAGGGTTTTATCCACTTTCAGGCACATTCACTTGACCATTATCCTATGACTTGCATCTCCATGCAAAGAGGAAAAGAGCCTCTGGCCTATTTGTGTCCCCAGGTATCCCTTACCCGAAGTCCCCCAAGTGAAAGTGAAGGCAGTGATGGTCGCTTCCTTATCTCCTATGATCGAACTCTGGTCATCAAAGAAGTATCCAGTGAGGACATTGCTGACATGCATAGCAACCTCTCCAACTACCACCAGGTCAGGCCTCTTTCCAGCTTCATTCTTTCCCCTTTCTCTCTATTCATAGTTCGGCTGCTAGAGCACATTGGGAGACTTCCTATCCCTTCTCCTCCCTGCAACCTATTTTGCTTCCCAAGAAGCACTTGACATCATGTATTTGAAAACGAGGAATTTCAGAAAAAGCCTCTGAATACCTCGTTGTGTTCTTTTCTAAATAGGAGAAGTTAGACGTGTTCCTTCTCCTTTGGCATTTATAATCGAAAAGCACTGTGGATTGATGTGTAAAGGGCACACATACAGCAAAGTATAAACTGTAGACTAAGCCAGAATTAGGTGAAGTGTTAATGCCAAATATACTGTCAGGAATAAATGCGGTTTTGAAGAGAAAATCAGGATAAGCACACAATTGGGGATAAACTGGAGGAGAGAAGCCATGATCACATCCAGTCCTAAGTGGGATTAGGGAGGCTATTCTGTCTGATTAGATTAACTTGGAATGTGGAGTTTCTGGAATATTTTGGTGATAAAAACACCGAATATCTTCCTACTGAAGAAATATATCCCCAAAGTCAACGAGCAAGGAATAAAGGAAAGACTCGAAAAATGTTTGGTTTAATCAAAAAACCAAATGACGAATGATGAAGGCTGGAGGAGGGATGGCAGCGGACACACAGAGGAAGACCTGTGAGAGACTCATGGGAATTCAGGCAGAGGTGCCTCCAGATTCCTGGTTAGGGATGACTGGGTGTCCACTCATTAACAGTTGGGAAGCAGAAAAAGAAACCGGTTTTGGGGAGAAGACAGCTTTGATTTAGATGTGTTGAATGCAGGGTTTCTACAGTTCTTCCAGATATAGATGTCCCGTAAGTGGTTGGGGAGTGGAGTTCAGGAAAGTAGAAGTGTAGATTTGAGAGTTACAGGTGAGTAGATGGTAATGAAAGCCGTAAATGTGGATGAGGTTATTGATGGGGAAATGTGTGGAGAAGACCTGAAAAGAAGGCTGAGGATAGAACCTTGAGGAGCAAGTAGAGAGAGGAGCCCATGAAGGAGACTCTGAATCGCCGGATGCCCTGGTTTGTTCTGTGTGGGATTCGAGGAGAGACAGGAGGAGAATTGGAAGAGTGGCAGAGTGGGGCTCAGGGTGAAGAGAGTTCTGGCGAGAGACTGGTCAGTGGGATCCGGTGCCACCTACTTGAAATACAGTGACTAGAATCCCTGTTGGATTTGGCAACTGAGGGATCTGAAGAAGGGAGGAGTAGAGAGATTTCAGAGGAAAACCGAGGGTATGATCTGATTTTACTGGCTTGAGGTGTAAACGAGAGGAAGTAGGTTGATTGCGGACTACTTTTCCGAGAAGGCTGGCTCTGAAGAGAAGTAGGCAGCAATACTGAGAGATGGTTAGCCCTGAAAGAGGGCACCATGCAAACATTTTTACTACAGGAATCTAGCCCACCAGGAAATGTTAATCTAGGTAAAATCACTTCATTGGTAAGCAGATGTCATTTCTAATCCTGGTTCTGTGACCCCTTGTACTTAAAGAGGGTCCAAAATAAGGATCGTCTTACCTTCCTCATCTCAAAGAGTGATGAAGAGGAAATGAGAGAAGGCACTGTCAGATTAAGAGACATTCCACAGATGGACTACATCAGAGGAGACGAGGAGCCCCGAGCGGCGTGGATAACCGCAGGCCTCTGTAACAGTCCCCACCACTTTTGGCCTCGTAATCTCGCTACTTGAAGTTGTCTGCCCTACCCTGGAACGGTGGTATTTGAACTCCCGTCCCTGGGCTGTTTATGCATTTACTGCTCAGCTTCTCCCCATTCCTTCCTCCCTTCTACCCCAGTACATCGTGAAGTGCCACGGCAACACACTGCTGCCCCAGTTCCTGGGGATGTACCGAGTCAGCGTGGACAGCGAAGACAGCTACATGCTTGTGATGCGCAACATGTTTAGCCACCGTCTTCCTGTGCACAGGAAGTATGACCTCAAGGTAAGAAGAGGATAGCTAGGGCTGAGGGAGAGGCTCCTGATGGCCTGAGAATGGGGAAGGGCCTGGGAGGGCACTTCGATGGTTCGTTTCAAAGGAAAGAAGACTGTGGGGTTTGAGTACTTGTCTTAGGAGCTGGATCCTGACTATTCTTTTAGCCACTTCTGCTGACTTGATCTTTGGGTCTCTCCACAGGGCTCCCTAGTGTCCCGAGAAGCCAGCGATAAGGAAAAGGTGATACTAATATTAGATGATAGGGTGAGGGATGAGGGAGGGCAGATAAAGGGATCTCTTTAGGATAGAGGTAGGGATCGTCAGCTACTTATTCTTATCTTAAACCGCCAAAAAGAAGAGAGATGTAAACCTGTGCTGATCCAGGGATTAAATGTTTGGAATGCGCAGTGGAAAAAGGTGCTTTCTCACTGGCATAGGTTATTTCCTGTGGAAGGCTTGGGGATGGATGAAGATGACAAACTTTAAGAGTAAAATGCTTACCCTCTACCCCCCACTCTGGGTTCTTTGTATCAAGCAGCTATTTTTGCTTAAGAAGAAGAAAGAAAAGTCAGAATGAGGGGTCTTGACTGAAAGCCATAAGCAGAGGTAATGGGATGTGATTTGGGGTACCGCTGCAGTGACTGAGTCTGGAGAAGCCACTAGAGCTGAGAACAGCCTCTGGGGCAGCATTGCAGTGTGGAGTCAGAGAGGGGCTGTAAGATCTCTCTCCCCTCAAAGCCACTGAGTTGGACGTAGAGCCCCAGGTAGAGCATGGTTCTCTGAGACCTTGGGGAGAGGGATATATTCCCAAGGTGTCCCTTTACTTATTTTCAGGTTAAGGAATTGCCCACCCTTAAGGATATGGATTTTCTCAACAAGAACCAGAAAGTTTATATTGGTGAAGAGGAGAAGAAAGTATTTCTAGAGAAGCTAAAGAGAGACGTGGAGGTGATGATTGGGGTGCTTTGGGAAGTAGCTGCTTCCTTTAGCTCCCCACAGGGCGGTTGTTTCTCCCATTCACCATCTGAGGGAACTGCTCCCCTTCCTTTTATTCTTTGGGTTCTCTGCATGTAGGGGAGTTGGGTTTGAGACATGAAAAACTCCTGGAGGTGACCCATGGATGGGGTGGCTAGAATCAGTTAAAAGGATGATCTCAGATACCAGGACATTTATGTACTAAAGGGCAATGATATACTCCCTCAATCTGCATCCTTCCTTCCACCAAGAGGGCCTCAGAAGCTCAGGAGTGGAGGTATAAGGGTGGTATGTGGGAGTGGGGAAGGAGATCTGAGGTATCTGACTTTTCAGTGGGGTCTCAGTTCCTAGTGCAGCTGAAGATCATGGACTACAGCCTTCTGCTGGGCATCCATGACATCATTCGGGGCTCCGACCCAGAGGAGGAGGGACCTGTGCGGGAGGAGGAGTCAGAGGGGGATGGGGACTGTAGCCTGACGGGACCACCTGCGCTCGTGGGCTCCTATGGCACCTCCCCTGAGGGTATTGGCGGCTACATCCATTCTCATCGGCCCCTGGGCCCTGGAGAGTTTGAGTCCTTCATTGATGTCTACGCCATCCGGAGTGCTGAGGGTGAGAAAGGTTCTGGGACTATTAAGGGTGTGGGGCGGGGGTGGGGGGGTGGAGGGCTTGGCCTTGTAGAACAGAGACCAGGGTGGTGGGTGGAAAGGCTGCTTAGCTTTTCAAAACAGATCTGATTGCTTCTTTGGGAGAGAGAATTGGGACAACACATGCTCTTCATTGCTGGTTTCTTTCCCCAGGGGCCCCCCAGAAGGAGGTGTATTTTATGGGCCTCATTGACATCCTGACACAATATGATGCCAAGAAGAAAGCAGCTCATGCGGCCAAAACCGTCAAACATGGGGTGAGGGTTCCCCAAAGCCTTCCTGTCTTGACTGTTTTGGAACAGGGAGCCTTTTGTGCTGGAGCAGTGGGGTGGCAAAAGGACAAAGGGTTGGGGATGGAAGTGGTGTGGAGTGGAACGGAGGGTAGGCAGTGGGGAGACGGGTCAGGGTGGCCTGACACCGTGTTCCCTATCTCCTGTCACAGGCTGGGGCAGAGATCTCCACTGTGCATCCTGAGCAGTATGCTAAGAGATTCCTGGATTTTATTACCAACATCTTTGCCTAAGAGACTGCCTGACTCCATGCTGACTGCTGCTTTATGTTCAAGGTGGCAGGGTTGTGAGAGGCTTAGGGGAATTGTGGAATGTTGACCACTGTTTCTTCTCTTCCTCCTTTGTTAAATACTAGCTACAGGCTCCTTCCATTCAGATAACTCCATCTTGTTGAGTAGGCTCTTCCTGGCCTTCAGAAATACATTGTCCTATCTCCCCCTGTCTAGTTTTCTTCCTTCTCTCTCTCCCCCCCCCCCCCAACAAGTCTGCTTGCTTCATGAGAGTGTTAATGTTGACTCACTCCCAAGTGCCTTGATCTTTGTACATGTCCTGTTGTTTCTATAACATACGAGGTGATGGGGGAAGGGGGTTCTCTGCCATCTTCAGGACCTGACTGGACAGATGGACCTGGCTCAAGAAGCTACTCCGGATGCACTTTGCTGCATGGGATAAACTAAGAGTGTCTGAATTTTGCTGATAACTTTATAGAACTCACTGTGGCATGCCTCCTTCCCAGGAGGCCCTGGGAAGGAGGACTTTCAAGATACTACAGTTGTGGGTGCTGGCATGCACATATGTGATGGGATGTGGCCCATCTTACACACACATGGGGTGGAGAGTGGCGAGCCGGCTGGCACCTCACAGAGGTGGGATCCAGGAGGACTCGTGATTATGTGGGGAACTGGAGGTCTTTGTCAAGAATTGACTGCTCTCCAACCTCTTCCCTCACCCCACTTCCGCCCCCCACCCCAGTACTTTGGGCACAAGAGTCCAGAGATGACCAAAGTGTTCAAGTCTGGGTGAAGATGTTTGTTGCTGCTCTTCACCAGGACCTCCCATGCCTCCTGGGGCTGGAACCCTTCAGTGGGGGTGTGGGCAGTTCTGGAGGCTGGGGCGATGGGCCAGGGTATAAGGTTCATTCCCAGTGCTAGATTTCCTTTCTTCATGTCTAGCCATCCCTGAGGTTTTATTCCCAGCAGGGGGGAATATCTGTACCTGGGTCAACCCTGGTCATTTCAAGAGGATGAAGGTCTCCAGTGTGGGGGCCTCCATTCTCATCGGCCCCTGGGCCCTGGAAAGTTTGAGTCCTTGGAGGTGTGCGCCTAACATATTTCCTTCCCAGCCCCTTCTCAAACCCTTTTTCCAGTTGGATTTGTCACTCTGTTCCTTTCTTTCTCGTCCCATACCGCTACTGTGTCTCCCAGGGGACAGATGGCCTTCTTTGTCATCTTCACTCTCCACCCCCAGAGAGGAGTCCGAGCCATAACTCAATCACCCGGCCTCCTCCAAAGAGTCGAAATGACATGTGATAGTCTCAGAATGTAGAGGACCCTGATGAACCAGATAGTGGCCTCCCCTCCCCCTAATGCCTCTGGGGCTAAGGCAGCCATTCTTGCTACCCTCCATCCCCCTTACGGCTTCTACGCTTTTTTTTTTTTTTTTTTTTTTTTTTTAACATAAAGATGGGCACCAGCGACTGGCCTGTGGGGATGCAAAGATTCTTTGCTCTGTATCTAGCTGGACTGATCTCACAAGAAGTCATGCAGTCATAAAAGAGACTTCCTTTCTCTCCTCCATCTTCTGCTCCAGAGGAAGTAACAAGAGGAGTCCACGGCTAAAGATCAGAGCCCCTATAATATCTCCCGTCAGGGGCCTGATGATCTCTCTCATTCCAACCGTCTACCTTTTTCCCCTGTTGAATGCAATAAAACTCTGTGACACCAGCAGCTGTTGCTCTTTAGAAATTGGTTTTCTGACCATGTGGCTGATGTATCATGAGCAGTATGGTCTTCATTTGTTGCTTCTGTTTTTCATCTTTTTTGTTTTATTAATTAATAAAAAAACATCTTGTGTATTTACTCCCATTGCTGTCATTGTATAGGAAGTAACTTATTGAAGCCATATTTCTTCACAGGCATGCCTCCCCTCCCCCACTTTCCTGAGGAACACTGTGCTTAGGGGTGTGGAGACCAGATGAAGAATTGATCTTTAAGGTGTTGGGCTCCTAACTAAGAATGTGGCTTTCTAGATAGATAGCTGTGAACTTAAAAGGCTGTGAGGGGTGTGCATGGGAATGAAAAACTTACTCTCCAGCTTTGTGGGAGTTCAGCTATGGGTTGGGGCAGGGAGAACAGATGATGTGACTGCCCCTCTTCCCCCAGGGTTCTGGGCTTGATCACACACCCATTCTTGTAAAGGTGAGTGAACCTCTCAAAGCATGCATGAAGGAGCTAAAAGAAGGCACTGGGTGTCCCCCAGGCTTCCTGGGAAAGATATCCTCTCTGCAGAGCAGGAAGAGGACAGCAGGGTCCTGGGAAAGAAAAAAAGTGACCAACCCTCCAGCCCAGAGGGGGAGTGAAGAAAGGGGTGGATAAACAGAGGTTGTTGCCAGTCTGGGAGATCCAGCACTGTTTGGCTGATGAGGTCTTTTGGCTGGTGGAAAAACCTGGCTTGATGTGGCCCCAGGGAAGTGAGTTGGACTGGGGGCGGAGATTGCTCTGATGTGGGAAGCAGAACAGAACAGAGCTGTTTTTTTCTTTGAGAGTTTTTAACTCTATTTAAACCATAGACTTGACATCCCCCCCCCCCCCAAGCAAGGCATTTAAAAAAAAATGTATTCACCTCCCATTCGGCACTGGCCTCAGTATCCCTGTTTGTGGAAACAAAAATCAGAGGCACTTACCAACACCCATCTGGGAGCAGGTTGTGGGGGTCACAGAAGGTAACAACCTAGGAAAAGGCAAGCGATGAGGGAAGGAATTGAAATAGTTTAGTCCTGGGGTTTGTTTATTTTTCAGAACCAGTGCTTTTCTTTTTACTATGACTCTTCTTCCCATCCCAAATTATTCCTCAAAGGCCCTTCTAGCATAAGGATCACAGAAAAATTGCCCCCTTGCCCACCTACCTAACCGACACTCCTCGCCCACCCATCCACCACCAGCTTGCTGAAGCCGCCACACAGCTGGCTGGAATAGCAAAGGCAGAGGGCCCCTCCCGGGAGGGGGAAGCGAGAAGGGTGGCGTCTCCAAGAGATTTAACCTCCTACCCTCGGATCCACACGCCACCCCCTCCCTCCAAAGACTGGGACGGCGCCTCCATTTTTGTTTTGGGGCGGAAGGGCAGGGGCTCTTGCATGGAAGGGGGTCAGAGAAAACGGTGATTATCACCTGTACGGGAGAAGCGGGTGCTGTCCTCCCTCCTACTCTTTCTCTCGGTCTGCACCCCCTCTCCAAACTCCCCCCACCACCTTCTCGGGGTCTCCCCCCCCTTGTTGCTAGGGCCCAGACCGTCATCCCAGCAACAGCCTCAGTCATGTGACCGGCAATGGCGGCGCTGACGAGAGGTAGGTGAGCCCGGCGCCCCCCACACCCACCGCGCGCCCCCCGGACCCCGCTCGCACCCCCCGCGCGCCTTCCCTGCCCCCCCGAGCCCCCTCCTCTGCCTCCTCACCCGCGCGCGGCTCCAGGGGCCCCCTCCACGCCTGGCCGATCCTCTTCCTATCACCCTCCAGCCTTGGCCTCCATTTGGGGGTTCTGGGGACTGCGATCGGGCCGACATGCACCCCCACCCATTGCTGGGGCTCTGGGGGCTCCGGCGAGAGGGGAACGTGGGGGCTGGTTCTGGGTCTTGCAGGAGGTCATGGGGGGAGGGGTGGGGCTGCCTCAGTTGATGCCCCCAGGGACCCTCGCCCCTCCCGGCTGCCCCTGTCTGGCCTCTGTCTGGAGGGAGGGACTGGCCCTGTGTCCGGCCTGGGTTGCCCCAGAGGAATCGGAGACCCAGCATAAACTGTGGCCCCGCCTCCCTTTTCTGTGCCAGCAGGACTTGGAGCTAAGGACATCTAGGTCCTGGGTTCCCTCTGATGGCGAGGGGGCTGTTCCACCTTGGACAGACCGAAGGAGCTGAGGTTCTAGGATTTCAATTTCACTTTCTGAACCTGGAGGTGCAAATGGCTTTGAGGGGACTATGATGGAGGCACAAACAGAGCCGCTCCCCTTTGGATCAGTCTAGGAATTGAGGTCACACTAATGGCCCCTCTTTCTATTTGAGCTACATGTGGAGGTGTTGTAGGTACACCTCTGTAGCTGAACATGGTTAAGACTCAGGGGAAACAGCAGGCTCCTCCAGCTGAGCCCCTGCTGTTCCCCACCCCTCCCTAAATGCAGACTGGGTTGCTGACAGGCTTATGCTCTAGTGCTGGGTTTAAAAGGTGACAGTAAGAACTTTGTTATTGCAGGGGTTCTTGCCACTTTGTTTGCATTCCAAACGGACTTCTCCTCAAAGAAGTCTCCCTAGCGATAGGGGCTGAATTACTTGGGAATATGGGGCACGGTAAGGAGTTGGGAGCCTAGGAAATCTTCTTATCCATGTGATCTGAGGGAGGTGGCAGGAAAGTCCTCCATCTGTGTGGGCTTTCACCCTTCCTGACTTCTCTTATCTGTGCCCTAGGCTTTCTCCAGAGCCTCAGAGCTGGAGGAGAAAAGAGGAAAGTTAGCATTGTTGAAGTTCCATCTTTAGCAACTTGGGGAGAGGCTGGGGATGGGATTCTGCAGGAAAGAAGGAGAAGAAATGGAAGAGGAGTTTCTGGTTTGTTTCTGGGCTGCTGGTGGAGTGACATTGGTCATCATATCCCTTTACTGTCCCCCTTCCCCCTAGACCTGGTCAGCTGAGTGTGGAAAAAGAGGAATTTCTGCTGCTTTCATCGTCCATGGGCTTTCCAGGTATGTGCCTCCCTTGGGAACTTCAGCTTTCACCTGTAAATTGGTTTCCTCCATTCCATGTGCCAAGTAATCCCAGTAACTTATACCCAGGTTCCCAGTCTTCTGTTACATGGGCTGCTGGGTTGGGGCATGTGGGAAAGGGGTAGGGGGCTTCTCACTTTCCCTCCTTTTCCTTTCCACCTACCAGGTCACACAACCTTCAAGTAGGGAGCAGGGACAGAGAGAGAGAGCCTGCATGCCAATTCTAAGCTCTTCAGGATCAAAGTGAGCAAAAAGGAGGGTCAAAAAGTCTCCCTCCCCTTTAAAGAGCCCAGTTTTCACCCAGAGGGAGGAGGGCTAGATGATTTCTGTGATCTTGGGAGGAGTGTAAAGAGAACCAAGACTGATGCTTGGCTCAGATGATGATAATAATAAAGTTATTAAAACTTGTTTTGCTCTTCAGTGGGTGCTGGGGGTTTGAAAGATAGGAGGAGACAGAAAATGAACTTGGGGGAGGAGTTGGGGTTGGCCTTTGAGACAGTAGAGGTAATATAGGGTTGGAAAGGAACCTGAAGTAGGAGGCACTGACTTTGTCAAATAGGGACCCCCCACCCTGAGTCCCTTTCACCCTGGGGGCAGTGTCGTTCGTCCTGTCCAGAATGGCAGCCTGTGGAGGCACCTGCAAGAACAAGGTGACTGTCTCTAAGCCTGTGTGGGACTTCCTGAGCAAGGAGACCCCAGCCCGGCTGGCCCGGCTTCGGGAGGAGCACCGTGTGTCCATCCTCATAGACGGCGAGACTTCTGACATCTATGTCCTCCAGCTTTCCCCGCAGGGCCCTCCCCCTGCTCCTCCTAATGGGCTCTACCTGGCCCGGAAGGCTCTCAAGGGGCTGCTGAAAGAGGCTGAGAAAGAGCTGAAGAAAGCTCAGAGGCAGGGAGAGCTTATGGGCTGCCTAGCTTTGGGGGGTGGTGGGGAACACCCTGAGCTGCACCGCCCAGGGCCTCCCCCTCCCCCTCTGCGAGCAGCCCCGCTCCTGCCCCCAGGGGCTCGGGGGCTTCCCCCGCCTCCTCCTCCCCTACCCCCTCCTCTTCCTCCCCGCCTTCGGGAGGAGACAGAAGAGCAGGAGAGCACCTGCCCCATCTGTCTGGGGGAGATTCAGAATGCCAAGACATTGGAGAAGTGCCGGCACTCATTCTGTGAGGGCTGCATCACCCGAGCCCTGCAGGTGAAAAAGGCCTGTCCCATGTGTGGCCGCTTCTATGGGCAGCTGGTGGGCAACCAGCCCCAGAATGGGCGGATGCTGGTCTCTAAGGACGCCACACTCCTGCTGCCAAGCTATGAGAAGTACGGCACCATCGTCATCCAGTACGTCTTCCCGCCCGGTGTCCAGGGGGTAAGAAGACCTATGGCCTGCCTTTGCCCTTTGGTTTAGCCCGAGCTCCTTTGGTGTGCCCCAAGCATGTTCTCTGGCCTAGGAAAACTGGGTGAGGGGGAATGTGTTCGTTAGATGTGATGTAGTCTTGCCGTCTCCCAGCATGCCTTCCCACTCAGTGCCCTGGAGCTGGGAGGTGCCCCTTGAGGCCCAGCTTTTCCATTCCACGACTCCATGGCACACATGAAAATCAGGTATGGGAGAAAGGAATTGAATACCGTTTCCTTGATGACCTTGGACGTCATCAGCTATTCCTGGCAGAGGTGAATTCCGTGGAGATGGTGGCTCACGTGTAGGCAGGCACAGCCCGAAGGGATCTGACCCTCCTCACAGAGCAAGAGCGTTACTTTGTTCCAGATTGACAAGGGAGGAAAATCTTGATGACAGTGGAAAGTTAAAACAGGAGTGGTCAAGAGCCTATGGGTGTTTTCCTGCTTGACCAAGAGTGATTGCCGGTCCTGGTTGGCAGAGGGATGAGGAAGCTCTGAAGAGGAGTAATGGGAAAATGGAACAGGTTAGGCAGGCAAAGAAGCACTGGGAGTGTTTTCAGGTGGGAGAAGGGAAGGCTGCAAGATAGATTATTGTCAGTCTTCACGTTTCTGCTGAGCTGTCTGGTGAGTAAGGACCAGCTACTTTCCGTCACTTTTGGGAATCCGTTCATTGCCGAATTGAGACTTGAGGGATTGAGGCCGCAGAAAGAACCTCTTTAACAGTAAGGGTTTTGTCCAAAGACAGGCTTCTGCCGCCCAAACCTGTCAAGGAAGTGTCTCCTTCCTTGAAAGGCTGTCAGCCTGTGGCTGCCTTGCCAGCATTAGCTGGGGGTGGCCCCAGACAGACAGCTGGCCAGGATGACCCTCTGTTGGCATCATGGGCCTTCAGATGCCCAGCTGCTCATTGTCCACTTTGCTTCCCCTTCCTCCCAGGCTGAACACCCGAACCCAGGAGTTCGGTATCCTGGCACCACACGGGTGGCCTACCTCCCGGACTGCCCTGAGGGCAACAAGGTGCTGACCCTGTTCCGCAAGGCATTTGACCAGCGTCTCACCTTCACTATCGGCACGTCCATGACCACAGGGAGACCGAATGTCATCACCTGGAACGACATCCACCACAAGACCAGCTGCACAGGGGGACCCCAGCTGTGCGACCCTCCTTCGTTTTCTTTTCCTTGGCTCCTCCCCTTCTCTCCATTTCCAGTGAGGGAACCACATCGGGCCCCCTCTCTCTGGGAACCTCCCAACTGGAGAGGACCACCCCCAAACTATTCAACCATCTTTTCCGTCCCAGTTTCTCTACATTAAACCTGGTCCAATATGCCCAGCTTCACCTATGAAAATAAGCAGAAGTGGGCTAAGTTATCTCAGATTTGCATATCCTTAGGGGAGACGGGAAGGGGCTGGAATGGGGCACCCAGAATGAAGGTGAGCATGAGGCTAATACGAGTAAGCTAAAACAGCTAATCCTGACCTTCATTTCTCTTTGCTCCCAGGTTTGGGTACCCGGACCCCACGTACCTGACCCGGGTGCAAGAAGAGCTGAGAGCCAAGGGTATCACAGATGACTGAAGGACGTCCCCTTTGCCAGGCCCTTGCCTTTCCACATAGGACCCAGCGGAAGCCTCTGTTCTCCTCTCTCCCTCTGCCCCCCACGCCACACAAATAGGGGACCCGTCTGACTGGGGAAGGAGTTCAGAGAGGGAGGGGGCAATCCCTTCCCCTGTCCCCCACAGGCCAAGTGCTTCAGTGCAGTGCTTGAGAGCCACTCCCTTCCGGCAGGAGGCTCTGCTCCCCTCCTCCCTGTGTACATACTCCCGATCTCCCTACCCCCTCCATTGCCCTTGGCTTTTTCTGGTATGTGCTGTGCTCCAGTGACTAAGCTGAGAAAGGACCTGGGTGGGGAGGGAGGGTCTCTTGAGCCCCCTGCCCCCACAAACTTCTCCACTGCTGAACTTAGGTGTGGGGGAGGGGGAATGGGGCTGGTGTGAGCCCCCAAGGAGCCGGCCTTGTGTGTTCTTCAGAAATAATCCCCCTTCTACCTTAACCTTGTCTTTTCTCTCCTGTGTCTCCGTCTCTGTCAGTCTGTCTCCCGCTCTTCTCTGCCCCCTATAAGGAGCCTCTTTACCCTGTTCTGGAATCGCCGCCAGACTGTAGCTTTTAATTTAATAAAAATAAAGTAAAATATGCAACTCTCCATGCCACACCCGTTCAGTTCTGTGGACCAGGGTGGGGGTGGGGTGGGGAGCGGAACCTGCTGAGAAGGGGAAGGCCGTGGGGGGGTGGGTATCCCTGTGTATCTCCCCAGTCTCTCTGTCTCCAGAGCGCTTGGGGAGAAGGTATTTAGTGGGCTTCTGCCACTTCCACGTCCGAATCGGGATTTAGAGGGGTTTGTTTGTTGTTGAACTTTGGTTGTAGAGAAAGGAGCAACCCTACCCCTTTGAGAAGTTTGGCTGGGATGGGAGTAGGGGCGGAGCCGGGCAGGGGGCGGATTCGGCAGCAGCAACTCCCCGGACGCACGCAGGCCTTGAGCCCCCCAGCTTCCGTGCCCCCTCAGCCCTGAAACTTGGAGCAGGGTAGGGGTCCAGCATGAAGCCCCCGGACCGCCCCGCCCCTGGCCGCACTGACCGGATACTGGGGGTCATGGGGGGCATGCTGCGCGCATGCGCCCTACCCGGGCAGGCGGGGGTAAGAAAGTGGGACCACGGTGGGGTCGGGTATGTTCAGGCGGTTTCAGGAGGTCTGCACCCCACAAATGAATTTACCTGCAAACAGGAATTCTGCAGGGCAGAATTCTGCAGGAATCTAAGAGTTCCAAAAGAGGGCCATAGCCCTGGTCTGGGTGAACCGCTCCCTCCAACCCAGCCTCGGCGACCGTTTTACAACAATGTGGATTTGACAGGAGGAAGAAGGGAAAGCGGGAGGTCAAGTCTGGGCGTGGAGGGCGGTTTCCTTACTACCAATCTTACTACCTTACTACACAGCCCCCGAAGAGAAGCCCCCTAGGGCCAGGAGGGACCGAGCCACAGTCTGACTGTACCGAGGGGCATCAGAAAGGGGAGCGCGAACGTGCGGTTCCCGCCTGGGCTCCGCTGCCCGGTAAGAAGCTGGGGGTGGGTGGGCACAGTTTGCGGTCCTGCGCACAGTGGCGAATTCAAATAATGCTGCGCTTATTAGCATAAAGGTTCGCATCTAATCTGCATGAGACCCATTTAATTGCCAAGACCTCCAGGCTTCTCGCCCTCTAGTCCGCTGTGTGCCCCACATCAGCTGGTCCCGAGCCCCCGCAGGCGGAGTGTCCCCACGCCCCACCCCTGGCTCGTCGCCAGCCCAGGCTCCAGGACTTCGCCTTAATTGGTGATTAGCCTCAGCTGGAGTCCTGGGGCCTGGAGGAAAGAAGGGTCTGGCGAGAGGGCGGCACCTGGGCGGTGTTCCCCACAGAGCTCCCCATTCACTCATCCCCGAAGTTGGGGAGGGGGCTTGTCTACCCCTGCGCGGCTTGGGAAAGTCCCAACACCCAGGACGTCTTCGCACAGATCCAGGCCCATCCGTCCGCTCCCTTCCACCGCAGAGGCTGAGGGGCGACCTGGGCAGACCCCGCCGCCCGGCTTAACCCCCACCCAGCGCACCGCAGTCGGGAGCCCGAGAGGCAGGAGGGAGGGGAACCCGAGGCGGGGGAGCCGAGGCTGGAGTGGAGAGGCGGAGGCTGTGGGGACGTGGAGTGGGAACGTGGTGGTGCCTGGGGGAGGGGGATTGGGGCTGGAGCGCGGCACAGGCTGGGGCTGGAGCGGGGAACGGGAGGGAGAGGGCGGAGCTGGGCCGCAGAGGCCCCTCCCCGCGGCGGCACCGCGGCCGGGCCTGTTATTCGGCTCGCCGTTCGGCCCGGACCCGCGCAGCGCCAGTGACTCGGGGAGTCGGCCCCCGCCTTCTCCCTGCCCGGGCCTAGAACCATCCCAAACCCGAGAGGCCGGAGACAGAGCTGGAGAGGCTGCCGCATCCCGGCCCAGCTTCCCCCACCATCCCTCCCCTCCCCGCTGGACATCTGGACCCTGGGCCACGCACCGACTGGGTTCCGGAAACACTCCCCGCCCAGCTCGGCCGCCCGGCCTCGCGCCGCCCGCTCTGCAGAGCCCCCAGCCCTCCTCCAGACCAGACTTCCGCCTACCCCTGGACTCCCCCTCCCTGTTCCGTCCCTCCCCCCCTCCCCCAGCCTGGAGCGGGGTAGGAGGGAGGGGGGGTGCGCGCCCGGCGCCGTCCCCGCCCCGCCCCCCGTGATTCCCCCTGCATGGCCGGCCCGGGTGGGGGGTGCGGGGGGGCCCGGGCGCCATGCGGGGGGGGCACAAGGGGGGTCGCTGTGCCTGTCCCCATGTGATCCGAAAAGTGCTGGCAAAATGCGGCTGCTGCTTCGCCCGGGGGGGACGTGGTGAGTTCGAGGAGGTCGCAACGGCCCAGTGTTGAGTTGGGGCGGGGGGGCGGGCCGAGGGTTCAGGACTTCGGATTGCGCTGACCCTAGGGATTTAGAGGCTGGAGACCTGTACCTGTGTTTTCCAGGAAAGTGACTTAATAGATGATCTCCAAGATCCCGTCTGCCTCCAAATTTTTATCAGTTCAAGTTAAGGAAATTGGGGAAGGGGCAGGAGACTCTGCTCTCTGTTTTGTAGTCAACTGGGTATGAAAAAACCCATCCACAATCCCCTTGGGCCTAGGACTGTATCTTCCTTAAATCCTTTTGCTGAGAATCTACTTCAGATCTGAAAAGGGCCAGAGGAATGGAGGAATGAGGATGGGGGTCTAGCAGGGGCTTTATGACAAAGCACAGCTCCTCTGTTCCTGGGCCCAGGGCAGATAGCCCTCACGAGCTCTCCTCACTTGTCCCCTCTATTGGGTTTGTGCATGTGTTGGGGAGATGGGCTGCAGAAGTCTTTTCTTTTTATAGTAATTACTGCAACTGGTGGAGGAGGAGTCTGGGGGTGGCTGATGGGCTTTTAGCTGCCCCCCCCCACCTTCTCAGGGAATGGTCTGTGCCCATTGGAAGGGGGCAGATTGTAGGAGAGCAGATGGCCACCCTCAGCTTCCAGTGTCTGCCCAGATGGCTGCCCCCCCATATCTATGCCATGCTCAGGATATGGGGGAACGGAGGTTTCCAGGCCTTGGGAGCCCAGGTGTTTACTGTCCTTCCTTCCAAGGGTGCCTAGGTGAAATTTTCTATCCCTGCCAACTCAAATGAGGATGGCAAGAGAGTGGGCCCTGGGGGAGAGGGGCTCAGCATCATGAAGAGGAGGCCTCTGGGAGCTCCCTAGGGGCCCTGCATCTGGAGCTAGAGTAATATCTATGGCCCCTTTTCTCCCCCCACTCCCCATTAGAATCCTATTCCATTGCTGGCAGTGAGGGGAGTATCTCAGCTTCAGCTGCTTCGGGTCTGGCTGCCCTCTCTGGCCCCAGCTCTGGCCTCAGCTCTGGCCCCTGTTCCCCGGGCCCCCCAGGGCCAGTCAGTGGCCTGAGAAGATGGTTGGGTCATTCCAAACATTGTCTCAGTGTGGAAACTGAGGCAGACGGTGGCCAGGCTGGACCATATGAGGTGAGCAGGGAGCACCACAGAAGCATGTATGACATCCATGAAGGACACTGGGAGAGAGGGCAGGTTGGGGGCCACTGGTCATTGGGGAGAGGTAGCTACTGTCCATGACCTCTGACACTTGACCTCTGGTTCCCAGAACTGGATGCTGGAACCAGCTCTAGCCACTGGAGAGGAGCTGCCAGAACTGACCCTGCTGACCACATTGTTGGAGGGCCCTGGAGATAAGACACAGGTATGAAGAAATGGATCTGCACAGCTCCCCAAAAGGCATCCATTTGCTTACTCTAGGATGTTCTTTCCTTCCAGCCACCTGAGGAGGAGACCCTATCCCAGGCCCCTGAGAGTGAGGAGGAACAGAAGAAGAAGGCTCTGGAAAGGAGTATGTAAGTGTCCCCACACTCTCCCTCCCTTTTGCTCCCTCCCCCCCCCCCCTTGTGCAACTTCCAGAGAACTGTCCCTCACATTTTAGATTTGATACTTGGAATTTCCTCTGAGGTTGGTTGTGGTAATGAAGGAGCTTCTAGTCCAGTAGGGAGGAAGTGGCTAAATCAACCATGTGCACTCCTGCTCTCTTCCCAGGTATGTCTTGAGTGAGCTGGTAGAGACAGAGAAAATGTATGTGGACGACTTGGGGCAGATTGTGGAGGTAGGTCCCTTTTCTCTTCTCAGCTCTAGCCCAGCCCTTTCCCTCTGCCCAAGGCTAATTTTAGGGGATGCCTTGATACTCCTCTGTCCCACCTTCCCAGCACCCCCCTACATCCTAGACTTCTGGGGGGGAGGGGTTTTTCCTACCAGGGCTGGCCCCTGACCGCTCACGCTCTCATCCCAACCTTCCTACAGGGTTACATGGCCACCATGGCCGCTCAGGGGGTCCCAGAGAGTCTTCGAGGCCGTGACAGGATTGTGTTTGGGAACATCCAGCAAATCTATGAGTGGCATCGAGAGTGAGTGATGGATTCCTGAGAGTGAGGGTGAAGGGCATAGATGTTTGGTAGTCTCTGTATCCCACCCATGGGCCCACTGCTGTCTGAGAAACGTTTGGAGTGGCTTAATGGCACAGCTAGGGTAGACAGCTCTAAGTTGAGTGGGGTGGGGGTATTTGACCAGCCTTTTCCCTGCCAACCCTTCCAGCTATTTCCTGCAGGAGCTGCAGCAGTGTTTGAAGGATCCTGATTGGCTGGCTCAGCTATTCATCAAACACGTGAGGCTTAAGAGGGTGGGGCCCTGGAGGGGAGGGGCTTGGGAGTGGGTCACAGCTCTCTGGAGAGGGGCTTTCTCTCCGCGCCCATCCGGCTCTCCTTAAACTTTACCCCTGTTAGGAGCGCAGGCTGCATATGTACGTGGTGTACTGCCAGAATAAGCCCAAGTCCGAGCACGTGGTGTCAGAGTTTGGGGACAGCTACTTTGAGGTCAGTGGCCGAGGCACCTTGGGGAAAGGGGAACAGAATCATCAGGCTTTCTAGGCTACATAACCACCCAGTCCCTGTCCCCAGGAGCTCCGGCAGCAGCTAGGGCACCGCCTGCAGCTCAATGACCTCCTCATCAAACCAGTGCAGAGGATCATGAAATACCAGCTGTTGCTCAAGGTCAGGACCACCTGTTCCCTGGGGGTACCTCTGGTTGGGACAGCCCTTTTCTCATTCATCTCTTCAGAGTTCCTAAGGCGCCCCCCATACTTCCTGGGCATCCTCACCTGTGCCTTCAAGGGGAGGATGTGAGAGTTTCTGAGGGTGTCCTCAAAACCTCCCTGAGCGTTTCTTTTCTACATCTTAGGATTTTCTCAAATATTACAGTAGAGCTGGGATGGATACTGAAGAGCTGGAGGTGAGGACTCCCAGATCTTCCTGGACACTTTTTTTTTTATCCTTCCAGGATCTTACTGTTTTAGTCTTCTGGGTTCTCCCAGCTCCTTGGGTGGTTTGAGCTGTCTCGCTTTTACGGGGAGGCTGGTTGAGAGGTGAAACATGGTCTGAAGAGGTCTCTTCCTTGACAATGACAATGCTTCTCTCTTCACCTGCGATCCAGCAAGCTGTGGAGGTCATGTGCTTTGTACCCAAGCGCTGCAATGACATGATGACCCTGGGGAGACTTCGGGGGTTTGAGGTATGGGGATAGAACAGGAAACTGGAGGCCCAATGCTCTTCTGCCCCAGTCTGAGTACTTGGGACGTCCTAATGGGGAATTGTCCTCCCCTGGGACTGACCCCATGGTTGGTTGGGAGCGTCAGGGGAAGGAGGGAGGAACAGAGAGTGCCCCTTTTCTCTTCTCACTTTTTTCTCAAAGCCACCGTCCTTTGGTTCTAGGGCAAACTGACTGCTCAGGGGAAGCTCTTGGGCCAGGACACATTCTGGGTCACAGAGCCTGAGGCTGGCGGTCTGCTCTCCTCCCGGGGTCGAGAGAGACGTGTCTTCCTCTTTGAGCAAATCATCATCTTCAGCGAGGCCCTGGGAGGAGGAGTACGAGGTGGAACGCAGGCTGGATATGTGTACAAAAGCAGCATCAAGGTGGGGAGGAGGCCACAAGGGAGGGGTCTGCCTGGGATAGGGTGAGACCTCTGAGAGAATGTCTGGTTCTTGGATTTGTTGGAAGGGGCAGGAACCGGAGAGGGCCTAAAGAATTTGGGGGCTGTCTCCTATTTGCCAATCCAGGTGAGCTGCCTGGGACTGGAGGGGAACCTCCAAGGTGACCCTTGCCGCTTTGCACTGACCTCCAGAGGGCCAGAGGGTGGGATCCAGCGCTATGTCCTACAGACTGCAGATCCTGCGGTCAGTCAGGCCTGGATCAAGCAAGTGGCTCAGATCCTGGAAAGCCAGCGGAACTTTCTCAATGGTGAAGCTCTCACCCTCCCTCCCCCACATGTTCCTTTGGCCCTTTGACCTCCTGAATCCCTCCCTCACTGCCCAGTCTCCAATCCCTGCCCTCTGACCCCAGCTTCTCTTCATCTCCCCAGCAATTTATACTGGCTGACAGTTCATGGGAGGAGGGCAAAGTGGGAGGGTGGTCTGGGCAGAGCTCTTAGGGAAAAGGCCTGTCTCTGTTGTAACTCTCCTTCTGTTCCTCTCTTTGCCCCAGCATTGCAGTCACCCATTGAGTATCAGAGGAGGGAGAGTCAGACCAACAGCCTGGGGCGGCCAGGAGGGCTTAGGGTGGGGAGTCCTGGGAGAATCCGGCCTGGAGACCGGGCCCAGGTCAGCACACAAGCACCCATCAACGGCTCTCTCCCCTCCCTGCTGCTGTTGCCCAAAGGGGAGGTGGCCAGAGCCCCCCTGCCCCTGGACACACAGGTATGAGGAATGGAGCGCCCCTGCTATAGAATGGGGAGGGCTCCTCTTGTTCTGGGATCCCTAAATTCCCTTCCCCCCATATTTCCTTATAACCACCACCTGCCTTTTGTCTGCCCCTTCCTACTGCCCTACTCTTACCTGTCCCTCTTCCAGTTCAACCCTGGGAGAGGCTGATGGTCTCGGATCATCTAAGATGCCTGGCAAGAGGAGGTGGCTTGGCTAGGGCATGCACTGAAAAGACAGGAGTGAGGGTGGATTCCGGAACTTTTTTTATCCTCTGACTTGAGTCTTTCCTCAGGCCCTCAGTGACTTCCCCCAAGCTCCTCGTGACTCTCCTCCAGCTCCACCAATCCCAAATACCCCTCCCTGCCAAGCCAGACTTGCCAAGCTGGATGAAGATGAGCTGTAACTGGTGAAGGCCTGGGGTGGTGCTGGCCCGGCCACCCTATTTCCCGAGGAACTTCAGGGCAAACCTTCTGGCATCACCTCAGAATTCCTTCTTGATGTGTCTGGAGAGGGGGCAAGGCTGGGAGTGGTGTTGACTTGGATGAGGATACCTAGACTCAAAAGGACTTCTTTCTGTTTAAGGAATGTAGGTTCCTTCAGCTCCCACCCCTTCTGCATGCATCACAGGTGCCCCCCCAAAAGGAGGATGTGTGGGTGGGTGGGAGGGCTGGGGCAGGGGCCAGGTAAAAATGATTGGTTTTGATTTTGATTTTGTTTCTTTCGGTTTTCTGAAAATAAAGGTTTTGTGATATCACTAAGGCTGCTGTCTCGGCAGAGGGAAGGGGAGCTATGGGAGGGGTTGGTGGGGTGAAGTGAAATGGAGAAACCAGCTGGCGTGTGGACAGCCTGGTGAGAGGAGGACACAGGGTGTAAGAGAAAAGATGTCACTGTCTTTGTACCTGACCAACAGCTGCAGCATCTCACAGTCTAGACCTGGAACTTGGGACCACTGGAAAACCCTAGTTCCTAGATGTATATCCTGCCCTTTCCCCAGCCTTTTTCTCCCAACTCTCCATTCTAGACTCCTTGGGAAGTCCAGTGTGGTCTGACTTCCCACCATTCCCCCAACACCCAGATTCTAAAGCACTCAATGCCCGAGTACCTTTCCTTCTGAGGCCTCCAAGTTCTGCTGAGGGAGAATGGAGAGGTGGAGAGGAGGCTGGGGGCTGTGGCCCTTTTCAGCTTTGGATCTCCTTCTTTTTGCGGTCTGCGAGGTCATAAGGCATATCCATCGTGAGCAGGAAAGGATTCTTCTTCAGGCCACAGACCCAAGATGCACAGCCCACAGGGGCTTCACCCTTCCCTACTTATGGGACAGCCCCTGGGACAGAGAAAGCCAAACACACCGAGATCCATGTCCAGATGCCCTATCCTGGGTCCGTGGGCATCGGTGTGTCCACTGTGTCCATTTGTCCCCTGGGCTTGGTCACGTGTACTTGGGCTTCCTCAGCAGACAATAGGCTGCTGGGGTGGGAGGGTGAGGAGGAGCAGGAGCCTCCCTGTGGGCCTGAGGTCCCTTTGGCCGACAATGGGGGGAGGGACCTCTAAGGGGGGGGACAGGACGTACAACCCAGATAAGACTTCTGGGGAACAATAGGAGGAATTGAAGAGGGGAGACCCACCCTCCCTGTACCCCACCCCCAGGGCTTTGGGGTCAGGGACTGGGGACCAGAGGGTGATGGGGAGGGGTGCCAAGCATTCTTGTAAATGGAGGAGGGGATGGGGAAAATAGGATTCTGGAGCTCAGAACCTCTGTATCTCTTGAGGGACCACAGGGGTACATGAGGTGGGTGCATGTCCCTTTTGAACTTAATTTAACCACAAATTTAAGTTTTTGAGGACCTACATTGTACATGTAGCTGCGGCCCAGCTCAGCAGTTTGTGACGCTTCTCTGCCCACAGAGCCTCTTACACTTTCTTGGGGGCAATCTGTGCCCCGTGAGGATTTGGGTCTGGGGTAGAGGTATGTGTGTGTTGTGTGTGGGGGGGGGGGAGGGGGAGGGGCGGCATCTTCACCTCTTGGGGAGGGGGGATGCAGAGGCTCTGGGAATGACAGGTCACAGCGGCCCAGCCAGCTGTCTCCTCCTAAAGGGCCGATGCGAAGGGAGCCGGGAGTGAGCAGGTGGGAATCAAAGGCTTACGAGTGGTAAAAAGTGGGTGTTGGGTGTTGAGAATGCGCTGTCTTTTGGCTTCTGTCTCTGGTCCCTACACCTTTCCACACCCCCTCCTCCGCCCCGCCCTGGCAGCCTCCGGAGCCCGCGACCCCGCCAAGGACGTCTGAGGAAACGCCTAACACAGAGACGCCCGCTCCCGAAGCCTTTGCTCTCTCCCGGCCGTTGAAGGTCCCCAAGAGAGGGCGCCCTCCGGGGCTGGATTGGACCCTGCTTCATGGAGGCGGGACTCAGGGCTAGCGGGTGGAGGGCTATTTAAGACTAGGCGGGGTTGGAGGTGGCCAGGGGCAAAATGAGTGGGCTACCGGGCGCCGGGACCAGCCCAGGCCTGGGAGAGGCCTCCGACCTTAAGTTCCCTCTGGGCGCCAAGTTCAGGGAACCTCTCACCGAGGCTCGGTTCCAGCGGCTCTTCGGAGACGCAGAGCAGGCGCCGGAGCTACTCGCGGAGCCTCGCTCGTCCCGACTGTGCAGACGGTGGAGGCGGTTGGCCAGCGCTTGCTCCGGGCCGGGGGCGTGGCGCCTGCTGCGGGCGCGGCTGCCCCCGCTGCGTTGGCTGCCCCACTACCGCTGGCGGGCCTGGCTACTCGGGGATGCCGTGGCCGGGGTGACCGTGGGCATCGTGCACGTGCCCCAGGGTGAGCGGCCCTAACGCTAGCCTGTCAGCGGCCCAACCTCGGGGGGCCCGCCCCCCCCCATGTAGGAGCTGGGCACCTGGGAGCGAGGGCTGGGTTAGGGTGGCCGAGGGTTCGGAGACAAGACCTCAGATCACGTTCTGGGTAAGGACCACGGAGCTGCATCATATCCCCACCCCCAGCCCCCTTCATTTGCGCAATCCTTCTAGAAGTCTTGGACACGTTCCGGGTCAGGGAACTGGAGAGAGGAACAACCCCTGCCCCCTACTCCCCGGAGGACTGGGCCGACACGGATCTGTGACCTTGTCCGCCCCACAACCTCCCACCTCCCACCGAGGCCTGTTAACCCCTAGGTTCCCTCATGTGGCATGATTCAGCGTCCCCATGTCAGCCTCTAAGAGTGTGGGCGCTAGTCACCTTTCCCCAACCCCACACACAGACCCTGAAGATCATCCCTTTCATTTCTCATACAGGCATGGCTTTTGCCCTCCTGACCTCAGTGCCTCCAGTGTTCGGACTCTACACTTCTTTCTTCCCTGTCCTCATTTACACCTTGTTGGGGACTGGTAGACACCTGTCCACAGGTGAGTAACCCAGTGACTCCTCTCCTTCTCTGTAGGGTGAGAATGGATGGGGGTTTGAGACTTCGGCCCTTGGAAGCTCCTTAGCTCTTATTCCCCTCTTCCCCTCCCCTTCTTCCCTTCCGCCTCTGTCGCTACCCTGCCAGGAACCTCGGACCTAGGCAAAGCTTGCTGCGGGTGCCGAGTGGGTGCAGAGAGAAGGGAGTTTCCTCAGAACTTTTCTTCCCCCATGACATTTGGTTTAAATGAACATCTCCGGGACTTGGAAGAGGGAAGAAGAGATGCGCGGTCACCCAAAGGAGCGCGCAGTCCGCGGGCGGTCTGCGGGAGCGGGCAGTGATGCAGTTAGAGGGCAGTTTTTGCCCGCCGGTGCGCCCTTCTTTCCTCCCTCACCGCCGGTTCCGGGCTGCTGCACGGGCTCTCGGCCCCACCGTCTTCATCGGAGCAGCAGCCTTCCAGAAGAGCGGGGTCTGACTGCAGCATCCAGGCCCGAGGGCGCGAAGCCCGGACGATCGCCGCGCCCCAGGCGACACGGCTGGTGATCTCTGCGTTTGTCCCCCGGCCCTAGGAACTTTCGCGGTACTCAGCCTCATGACAGGCTCGGCGGTGGAACGGCTGGTGCCCGAACCCCTCGGGGGGAACCTGAGCGGAATCGAAAGGGAACAGTTGGACGCTCAGCGGGTTGGGTCGGCTGCAGCCTTGGCCTTCGGTAGCGGGGCGCTGATGGTGAGGGAGGACCCTGTGGGATCCACACTGGGGCCGGGGGAACTGGGCCAGGAGAGAGGGAGGGACAAGTGTCATGCGCGGGTCTAGGCGGGAGAGGTGCGCGGAGCAACTGGCGCACTGCGCTCTGGCGAGTCCACTCCTCCTCCTGTAGTGATTGCGCATCTTCTCCCCTGCAGCTGGGCATGTTCGCGCTGCAGCTCGGCGTCCTGTCCACCTTTTTGTCGGAGCCGGTGGTCAAAGCGCTGACCAGCGGGGCCGCGCTGCACGTGCTCGTGTCCCAGCTGCCGAGCCTTTTGGGGTTGCCCCTCCCGCGCCAGATTGGCTGCTTCTCTCTCTTCAAGGTGGGGGTGGAGAACGGCCGAGAAGCGGCTTCTAGCGGTCCTGGGAAGAGGGAAACCGGGAAAGGAAGGACGGCGAATGGAGGGATAGAGGGTGACGGGGGCGGAGGAAAGGAGATTAGAACCACGTGGCTGAACGAGGGGCGCTGCGGAGACGGAAGCCCTGATGGGAGCCGGGAGGCCTTGCCTTGGCCGGGTGGGTCCGCTCTGAGGGCAGTCGACCCCGGCCTCGGGCCCTCGATCACCGCCCCTGCCCGCAGACGCTGGCCGCTGTGCTGACCGCGCTGCCCCGGAGCAGTCCGGCCGAAATGACCATCTCGGCACTCAGCCTGGCGCTGCTCGTGCCGGTCAAAGAATTGAACGTGAGATTCCGAGACAAGCTACCCACCCCGATCCCGGGGGAAATCGTTATGGTGAGGATGGCTCCCGGGTCGCGCGGTCCCCTGAACCACACAGACCTTGCCGGTCGGGTAGGAGCTGGCCGCTGCCGCCCCCTCGTGGAAGGCAGCGAGCTTACAGAAAGAGGTCCTGTGCACACGCGTACTTTTCCAGGCCTCTTCCCAGAACACTGTGACCCTGCAGAATCCCCCACCCACACGGTCCCACTTCTCTGGCAGAGCCTCTTCTAGACCTCTTAGAATGCTTTCTTCCTGCTTACAGCGTTGCCTTGAGGTGTCGCTCGCCACAGCACCTCCACTGCTCTCCCCCTACCGGTCCTTCACTGTAATTCAGTTACTCTCCCTTCCCACGCCCACCTGCATTTCTCTCTCTCTCTCCCCCTCCGCCGACTAAATAAGTGTTCCACATCTCCACCCATACGCGGGAGATCCCTAGATCTATCCCAGCTGTCCTACTTAGAATGGCTGGGTGTACTTCCTGATATCTACCATCCCTCATGGGAGCGGAGCGCCTCTTACTTCCTCCGGTCCATCTCTTACCGCAGCCTCAGGTATACCTCATTCCTTTCCCATTCCCACTCTCCTTCACTCTCAATTGGCTGTCATCCCAAACATATCCCAACTCCCCCAGTTGCTGGGCCCCTGCAAACACCTAATGCTGCCTTTTAATCCTCTCTCATGTGAAGCTTCCCCCCCCCCCCCCCCCCGCCTCTTCCAGGAAGCTCATCTTCTGCCGTGCCTCTAATTTGCTCTTTCCCAGGTGCTTCTGGCCTCTGTGCTGTGCTTCACCTCTTCCCTGGACACAAGATACAACGTCCAGATTGTGGG